CTCTTTGGAGTCATTTTGCTGAATGTCTTTTTAGCATTCAACATATATAACCCTCTGATTATAGTCAGCTCATATGAGGTATAACCAACTGTTGTTATTTAACAGTTTGTATCGTTTCATCGGGGTAACAAAGGAGTCCTGGGCCTTTAAATCCCTGACCATTGTGCCCATCCTGCTGTAAAATGATGATCAGGTCATTCAGGGTCACTTTGATTGTTATCTTCATCGCATATACTAAGGAATGAATGGTGTAAAATCACTCGGGGAGGTGTGGACAGCATTGTAAGTTCCTGATTGCAGAATGGATGCAGCCTCTGGGATGAGACACTGCTTTACCTCATATGCTACATATTGAGGGTTTAAGGTGAAATCGGATTGGACTGACTCCATCTGCCTTTTCTCTGTGCTTTAATCATGAAGTGTTCTTCCCAGATGTCAGAAACATTTATTGTAAGTCAACATTTGAGGATATAATACACTACTGTACACACATGAAAAGGAGATAGGCTAAAAGCTGTAGGTATGACTCTATTTACGGTGATGTGTCTGACAAATAAAGAAAACTGAACTCTTTCACAAGCCTGTTCTAAGCATAGCAATAGCAGAGTAATTCACAAATAAATAAAGAATCCAATTAAATTGCTGGTATTGAATGCCTAAAGTATGATACATTAGTAACACTATTGTAGATCTCTGCAACATACTGAATGTTCCCTTAGTTTAAACATACCATGGATCCACCGTGTCTTGGATAAGAGAACCCTCTAGTGGCAAACAGTCACACAGGGAGATCATTTGTATTGCAGACATTCCCAAGCAGTTTCAATACAGAGAGAATATAGGAAATACGTTCCGTGTCAATAAGATCAGATGATTTGCCTTTACCTTATGAATTAGTTATACTATAAATGAGGTGAAGGTACTGTATATATTTTAGGACACAATGAAAATAATCTACTTACAAACTGACATGAGCAAATTACAACTTAAAGTTAACACTCTATGATCTTGATGACTCCAAAAGTCAAAAACAGTAGTCTCACATTTATTGACAGATCTTTTTATTATAATAGAGAGGCGAAGTCCCTCTCCTTCCGGTTGAGCTCCATGGGACCTTATTTCGGAAAAGTTATGCATTGAAGTCAATGGAGAGAGAAAGATTATCTTTCGATCCCGTTTGAATTGTGCCACGAATTACACATATGATGTTTGTCAATTTAAAAGATAAGTCAAAAAAAAAAAAAATGTGTCGTAAAACTGTGAAGTAACACTTTCTTTGTGTGAAACCGCTCACTACAACTACATCTCCCGTCTCGCACCACACACCAAGACGGCCGTCACGTTGGCATATTTCACTTCTTTCTTTCAGAATGAGGCGAAAAGTATTAAAAGAGGTGAAAATCACTACAAGTCTGGGCATGTTGAGAGCTGTACATACACAAAAGGGGAGTTAGTCGGTTCCGTAAGAGCCAGCATGCGGGACCGGGATTCTGGGAGTTGTAGTCTTTCTAGTTGCATATTTTTCATAGTCTTATATTTCAACAGTTTTACGACAAACTGTGACTTTTTTTTTTTAAGATTGACAAACACCATATGTGTAATTCGTGGCACAATTCAAACGGGATCGAAAGATAATCTTTCTCTCTCCATTGACTCCAATACAATACACCGGAAGGGGAGGGGCTTCGCCTCTCTAAATTAAATTGCTCTTTTTTGTCATTTCACAGTACAGGTACTATGTAACGAAATTGTTCCTCTGCATTTGACCCATCCTAGTGTTAGGAGCAGTGTGCGGCGCCCAGGGAGCAGTGTAGGGAACGGTGCCTTGCTCAGAGACACCTCGGTAGCACTTGGTCTTGCCGGGACTCAAACTGGTGACCTTCCAGTTCGAGTCCAAGCCAAGTCCCTATCGACTTCGCCACCACCGCCTCTATATCGTAAGACAAAAGCTAAAAAGAACTATTTCAAGTTTATGATACGTCAAACAGTTTGTTTACATCTGCAATGTTCCTGAAGATCTCTTGCAAACTTTTGCATAAGAATGTAGGTATATTAAGATTTTTGGAGGATTTTACCAACATAAAAATAGTTTTTTGTCTATGATTATAGGCTCTTTCATATAAGGGCTCCATGGTGGAGATCCAATCTGATTTCTCTCCCAGCGTTTACTCTCTGATGTTGCAGATGAAGTTTCTTGTCTCACTGCAGTTCAATGTCTTCCAGCCTTGGCTATCATAACCCACGGCACCACAGTGCTGCTGCTGGTCAGGACACTGATTGGGCGAATGTGCCCTTGTTCCGTCCATCCACAGCCACTCACCAGCCAGGAATTGCAGTCCAACCCACATCTACAGGAAACAACAGAAACAATTAGTATCTGTATACACAGAAAACAACTTTTAGACGCTCAATTACTGCTGCACACTCACTTCACATGATGCAGAACTGAAGGAAGGGAGAGGAACCTGGTGTTCCCACTTGGAATAATTACCTAGACTACCAGTCTTCTAGAAAATGTTAACAGCCTAAATGTGAGTATTTCTACGGAAGCGGAAAACGGCCATCCTGGAATCGAGTTAGGAAGATAATTATTTTTGTTGAACTCAAGATAACAAGGTTTGTTTTATAACAAAGGGTTAATTTATGCTGATGTTTGAGAAAATTAGGCAGATTTATCAAGATATTTAAATTATTTATCACAAAAAAATACATATTATTTCTCAGGATTAAGGAAAAACTACTTTTTTTGTTTGCCACATTGCTGGTCTGATCGTTAGCTGTAACAGAATTACATAATGCAATTTCTGCCTGTGTTAGAGAACAACTTTATGATTTGTCATGATAACAGGTTTTTGTTTTTACAACAAAAAATGAGCCAAAATTGCAAACATGGCTGTTCTTGGCTTCCGTATAGTTTTAGACAATTTGTGTATTTTAGATTGACTGAATAAATTGTATGAGTGTCGGTATTAGATTTGTATTTAGATTAATTTGACTGACAGACATTGGAAGACATTTTCGTCTTCATAAATCACTGATATATCTGACCTGAGCTACAGCCAGCCGAAGGGGATTATTTGTATAACTCAAAAGCTAAAATATAATACAGCCTCAATGTTGTGACATGACTGCAATGTGTATCTAGGCAACCAACAGAGAATCCAGAAGGTTACTCTGCATTGCCAAAAAATAGTCCATCCCATGACCCCCAATAAACAAATGGATGTTACTTATGGCGCATTTCCACTACGCGGCCTCGCTCGGTATGGCTAGGCCTCATTAGGACTGGCTCACTTTATGGCGCATTTCCATTACAGTTTAGGAACTGGGGTAGTATCTCTATAGTAACGCAGTGTAGGCGGAGCCGTGACGTCATCTTCAATGAGAACCCCAGAAAAACAACACAGCCGTTAGATGTTAGCACTCAAGCTCACAGCTCCTCATATCTGTTCAGAAACTAGACAAAAGTTAAACAAGTACAAACCACAGACTGCCTGTGTCATGGTGAATACAGTCGCTGCTTTATTTATGTCTGTATAGGCCGTTGTTGTGAGTGTGGACGGTCGGAGCATATATTGCGTTAGCTTAGCCAATCTCCATTTAGAAAACACGCATTTTAAAAGGTTTTTCACCTGCCGTCTGTCTGCAGACTTGTCAAAGCATTAATTCATGGTTTTTACTAACCGGTATCAGTATGTCGTTACTTCGGCATCATTTTGAAACGTGTATTACAATGAAATCACGGTCAAATATGTTCATCTTGTTGTAGTTGTAGCCCCCTTGCCAGCGATTCTCTCTCTAGTTTAGCAAACTCAGCCCAACTCAGCCCTGTTTGTTGGCCCCGATAGAACCGCGATTTTGTCGGGCCAGAAAAGAGGTGAAAAAGTACCCCCGGGCCGGAACTAGGCATAGTGGAAACGCAACCAAAAACGGGCCCGGCACGACACGGCACGCATAAACCGCGCTCCGCGCCATGGTGGAAATGCGCCATTAGTGACCTTAAGAGGTGCTGTGAGCCTGAACAGAGCCAGGCTAGCTATTTCCAATTAATTCCAGTCTTTCTGCTACGCTAAGCTAACTAGAAAATGAGCCTAAGTGTTGAACTATTCCTTATCACAGGACAGTTACAGTGACAACATCTAACAAGTACACAAACAGAAAAACATCAAACCTCCTTAGTGTTTGGGTCCAGTCCTCCTAACTTCATTCTGTCCAACACAGTTTGATGTTGTCCTGGCAGACTGGCGAGGTCGTATGCAGATGAGCCACCATCCTGCAGCTCTCTACAGTGCTGCAAGGCCTCTTCCCATATCTTCTCCTCCTGCACCAGATTCAGTCTGTCTTCTGTAGTGGAAAACTTTATACAAGTGCATACTTATAACTTTATATGTAATGGCAAACTCTATATGTAGTGTAAACTTTATATGATGTGCAAACCAACTTTATGTGTTACCTAATATGGTAAAATGCTATGCAGTTGTTCCATGAGGATGTATTTTAATCCATGCCCTCTGTTCAACATATAACTAGCCTTAAGGATGTCTGGGGGACACAGTGTCGTGAGCAAAGTGTGAAGCAATGTCTCAAACAAGTTCCTGTGTTTGTTCCTTGTCTTACAATGAGTTCCTAGTTTCTTGGTTATATCTGTAGTGACCTCACAATGACTTCCTGCTGTCCTCACTTGCACCTGGCTTTAACCCACAATGTGTTAAACTTTCAACACTTCCATCTGTCTTAAACCAGTTCCTGTTTTAGCTAAGTTCCTGATTTACTACATTGCCAATGTATGGTTTCTGTTCCTCTGGAATGCGGGCGTAGCTTATCTATCCATCCAGCCCTCCCATAGTGACAGGTCACGAAGTGTTGTTGAACTGTGAACTGTCAAGATCCTATAAAACCTATACGCACTCCTTTCTCTGTGCGCACTCTTCCAGAGTACTCTGTACTCCGTGAGACCTGTGCCTTATTTGAAGCTTCAAATAAAGATCCAGAAAGACAACTCTGTTTCCACCATTTTATTAATTGATCAGTCTAATTGTATATCTCCTGAGTATTGACTAGGTCTAAGATTTCCAAAACACTTCACACATGAAGCAGTCAGTTTCAGAGCATAAATGACTGTGCCATTCGTTTTCATCATGGCTCTCAGCACAGTACCCATCAGAGGCTGGTTCACCTACAAAAGCAAAACGATAGAGTCTGAAATTACAGTCTCTCTTGTAACATAGACATGATTGCATTCTGGTAAACCTGATTATAATGATAGGCCCAATTTTCATGATTTATACTTATCTTCCTTCCAACCCACCAGATTTGAACTTGTTGAAGACAGCTTCCTCATCTTTTCAGGACAATCTCCAGTGATCTGACCTCCATCTCATACCAATCCAGCCTTTGTACGGAGCAATCATGTCGGCCTGGGCTTGATTTCTGACGTTGAACAAGTCGCTATAGTGCTCTCTGCAGTGTGCCCGGGCAGCATCCCAGTCAAGCTTGTCGGATATGGGGACAACTCTGAAAGTCGCTGCACGTGGAGGAGTGGAGAGAACGAAGACGAGGGGGAGAAGAAGAAGGATCTTTTTCTCTATGTTGTCTGCAAAAAGGCTACAAAGTACACTTAGGTCACCTTTCAGGGATTACAACAATAATAACAACTAGGTTACTTTAATTTAAATATGTTTTAATTAGTTTCTCAATCATCCTTTTATTTATACAGCTCCACTGAGAGACAAATTATCTGGTCACTTTTAGCCACAGTCAACAAAAGCTAATTGCAATTTTCAAAAAAAAATTATAAAAAAACTACTATGACAGAGCAGCAGGATCAAGTGCCAAGGGAAATACCAAAAACATTGAACATAAAAACAACTTTTTCTATAAAACCAAGGCTGTTTCTATGTTAACACTCACCATAAATGACGGCACCAACAAAGAGATCTCAGCCTCGGGGATATTTGCTGAAAAGAGAAGGGATGCTTCTTCTTTAAAGGCAGAGCTGTTAGACGGCTGTGGATTATATAGGACCTTTTGTTACAAATTCCCCAACATGACGTATCGGAGCTCAGATGATTTCTACCTAAACGGACCAATCAGAGCCATGCATTGAAACAACTTTGGCCTTCACCATACACAAACTAAATCTTCAATTTATTTTATCATCATTAGTCAAACATCTTAAATGATGCACAGCACAGTTATCCTCAACCGACAAAACAAGCATCTCTTTCCATTTGCCTTAAACATTAAGCCTTCCTTTATATTTGTATATTATTTTTGCAAGAAGTCAAAACAAGACAGACACACTGAAATTTGCTTAAAATAAATTGGTTTAGATAGCATACAATAAAGATATGTGACTACAGTTCAGGCCACCAGGGCTAGTACCTTATTGACTACGTTAAGCAAATGGTTGCAAAAATTAAACCTGATATCAAAGTGATGTTTGTGTTTCTTAGATTTTTTAAGCCGGCACAGCTGGGATTTGAGCCAAAAATGTTCTGTTTACCAGACAAATGGTTTACCTAACTAAGAAACTTTTCTGCTTTGAGTAAAAGTGTCAAAAATGTCAATTTTCACTAAACACATGTTAGGGAACTAATTTGTAGTCAGTCCATCGGGCACTTTCCTATTTGGTTCAAATGTCACCAAATATTATCTACATTATCTTGATAGCTCAGATTTGAGTCCAAATGTAAATGTGAGATTGTAAACATACATTCTAAAATGGCATTTGAAATGTTTGGCATAACATTTGAACCTGGTTCATTATAAAAATAAATGCAATAGACTTGCCATAAGAAAGCTCACAAACTACCAGACATTTGAACATAAATTAATTATCAACATAATTAGAGTTTTTTGTTTTCAAGCTCCAATTTTGAACAATCAAAGCAGAATGATTTTCAACAGAGTGATGAGCACTTGATGGGAAACACTTTAAAGGAGAGGTATCATGCTTTTCCGGTTATTACCCGTCCCCTTGTGTGTTATGAAGGTTTTTATGCATGTAAACGGTGTGCAGAGTTAAAACCCTCAAAGTACACCCTGTAGCGAGTAAAACTCTAACACAGAAAAGACCTCCCCAAAACGCCTCGTTGGAGATACGTCATTGTCCATTGTTTACTTCCTGGACACTGTGACGTGTGAATGGCCAGAAACGAAATTGACCAATCCACGGACTTCCTCACACACAGGCAGCTCTGCTGATTTCTCCTCCCTGGCTGCAGGCTGATAACAGACAGTTGGGATCGCGGCCAAATTCTCTCTGCAGACCCATTCTCACAGTGTTTATCAACCTTTTTCTTACTCAATATCAAGCCACACTTATTGTTTTTACTTCGACTGTGAGTTTGTGTGTGCTCAGGATGAGTTTGGCTGTGTTTCGCTATGTATGCTAAACAAGGAAACAACACCTCCACGGAGCTCAGCGCGATTCACAACGTCCCGACCAATCAGAGCACACTGTGCTCACAGGGAGGGTGGGGGCTGGAGCTATTGGAGCTACAACGAGCCGTTAAAGGCAGAGAGTGAAATTCAGTGAATACACGTAGTTGACAGAGATGCTGAATGAGAAACCAATGTGAGTTTGGAAAAATGCACAGTATAAATCTATTTTAGTAGACCTCAACAATGGAATTATGATCAGTGGAAATGGCCATGATACCTCTCCTTTAAGGCTGGTATAATATTTATGAACAAGAATTTGAGAATCATTTTCTTTATATTTATCTATCTATCGATAATAAATAATGAATTTGGAATATGTTGAAACCTTTATGACTGAACTGCAACAACCCAGGTCAGTTTATTATAATCCTGATAGTAATCCCATGGCAGAAATGACTTTTTACATTACTTTTTGCTTTGTCTCTCAATATTTCAAGAAATCACAAATGTGTTTAAATGGTGGCTTTCACATTTATTACACGGTAATACAGCTTTATTTTAGCATCACTTGAAGACACATACAAACTGATGATGGTAGACAACAGCTACACAAGGTAGTTGACAGTCTTAGCAATAACTCAGGTATTTAATAAGTCCAGCCTGTGCCAGGGCACATTGAGTGCCAGTGTGCATCCCGCTCCATTTCCCTCAGCCGTCTGGCGCATGCTGCTAAATTCTTCGCTAAACCCGACGCTCTGCTCTCCGGGCGAAGCTGCAGCAGGTCCTGTCTGTGTGCACTGCAGCAGGTAGCATGATGTCAGAGTTTTTAGGAGGTTATGGACACCATGTTGTTAGGACTCAGGATCTCAATCCAGTATCCATCAGGGTCCTGAATGAATGCAAGGCCTTTCATTTTACCTGGGGTGCAAAAAAAGAAGTATGAATAAATGTGAAAAAAAAACTATTTTGAAATTCAGGTTTCAGCAAGTGTGCAGTGAAGTGTACTCCTCCAGATTTGGACGCAATGTGTTAGTTCTTAACTTAACAGCGCTGTAAGCAATTATTTGTACTTGACAACATTCACAGCTACACTGTATCTACTGATGGTTTAACAGCATTTATCCTCAGTTAGTGGCTGGTAGGATGACGTGAAAATGGCCTGAGATCTCATATGAGGATATTTTTATTAACTCTGTAATATCTCTTGGTGTAGAATAGATGGTTCCTCTTTGAAAAACTACAAAAGTACAAGGCATATCAGCTCAGCTGGTCAAATTCTGTTCTAAACCAAATGTCTACAGTGGTTTTGTAATAACTATTACTAGAATGATTGACCTATGTCCACAAAAACAAATATTGAGTGTACCATTTAGATAGCTAGCAAACATTAGCTATCTATCAAACTAGCTAGAAAACAGGTGCTATCAACTAAACAAGCTAGCTAACGTTAGTTACCCATCAAACAAGCCATCTAGGAAAAAATGTTGTGCCATTAAGCTTACTAGCAAACATTCGCTATCTATGAAACTAGCTAGCAAATGTTATCTACTTACCCATCTACTTACCAAGCTAGCTTACGTTAGCTATCCAACTTTGAAGCTAGTTAGTGAACGTTAGCCACTAACTGTCATAGTTTAAATTATTATTATGAAATGTCTACGGTTCTGGCAGTAAGTTATTATGAAGAAACATTGGTGACATTTGCTTTTACTAATACTCTCACACAGCCAGCAGCTTCTAACAGCTCCAAACTTCAGTGTACATTCCCACGTATGCATTATTTGGATGAACTCATTAGTATCGAATTGGTAACTTTCTTGCAAAAAAAGTATCAAAACTTAATAAAATTGTATTAAGAAGTTTAAAAACAGTTCATTTGGAGAAGAAAAAGGTTACTAAAGCTTGGCAAAGTAATAGCACTTCAGCTCACTGACCCACCAAATGAATCAATGTGGAAGCGCCCTAGTGAAGTCAAAGAATAAGATGAGGCTTTGAGGCAGGTCAATTGAAGGTATATTCATATTTGTCAGTATATTAGGGAAATACATCATAATTATAATTCCCTCTTATATTAAAATGTGTACAAATACTATTAACTATTTGTTAAAAAAAATAAAATCACATTGCTTTGATATTATTGGGGAGAGGTGAATACAACTGAAGATAAACAACAGTGGTAGATTCATTAAGACCAAAAATAACAATGACAATTTTAACATCTATTGTAGTATACTTAAGGGCTTATTTTATTCTTGAATAGAATGGCATCAGCCCATATTTAAATTGTAATTGCTTTTCATTTTAAGGGCACAAGCCAACTAAAAAAGCCTAATGGAGAAAGAAATAAAAATACCTACGGCTGTCAGGTTTTACGTATTTAACCCGTCTATGACCCTGAGTTTCATAAACGCTTCACATCTTACCATCATCTGGCTTCTTGACAAATGTGACTCCTTGTTCTTCAAACAGTTTGCAGGCAGCGTAGACGTCAGGAACTGCAATTCCTATGTGTCCTGTTAAATGCCAGGTAGACATATAGACACTGTTTACTATGGATACAGACTGTTAGCCATAGTGTAGTTTGCTCCAGTGAGCCAATACATGTACAGAGATTCTCACACATTAAAAACAACAGACAAAAAGCAAAGAGTATATCCTTTAAATGTTAAATGGACATTTTAGAAAGACTGTTATACTATTCTCCTACATTTCAAGTCTATGCCATCATATATGTTGTAGGCTTTCAAACAAGACATTTTGTTTCACTTTAAAACCAGGGAGAAATCTTACCAAAGCCACGTGGATCTGAGTTTCCATTGTGATAGGACTGGCTCTCATCAGCCTCAGAGCCCCAGTTACTGAAAGACAGAGGGAGGCATACAAAAATGGTAAGAAAAGAAAAGTACAAAGGAGGAAGGAGACAAAAAGGTAGGGTAGAGCCTTACTGTGTCAACTCAATGGTGGCTCTTCTTGAAAAAGTCCACGCCGTCTTTTCCTTCACCTCTGTAGGAATCTCCTTTTTGTCCTCGAAGCCCAAGAAGAAGAGAGAGAAACGCATGGAGGGGAAGTCGAACTTTTGCAGGAGCCTGGAAGAGTGAGAGAGTTTTTTAGGAATCGTGTGTTTAAAGTGGATATAAGTCAAGTCAACACTTAAAAACTAGTACTCACGTCATGCCAAGGATTCTGGTGTAAAAGTCCAACGATTTAACTGGATCTTTAACTCGCAGCATGGTCTGCTGCATCATGAAATCCTGAAACACAGGAACACAATACCAGAGCTTTACATACACAGAACACTGGAAGTCAAGATATGTGAAACCTGATGTACTTATATGATTCTGTTTTCTTCAAGTTTGTATCTTGTTGGTCGAATGCACTTATTGTAAGTCGCTTTGGATAAAAGCGTCAGCTAAATGCAATGTAATGTAATGTAATGTGCAGCACTAACAAATAATAACCACGACTGATGCAGAAAAAGAAATGCATACTGATTTTAATATTATTTGCATTATTATATTTCAGTGGGTTTTCTTTAAATCTTATGCTTTTCATTCTATATTCTCTTTCATCTTAATATTTATTTTCTTTTTATATTTGATTTGATACATTTATTGACCTCAAATAGTAAGACAGCTGGTATTTTACTAAGTGTTTTGTATTTAAAGGTGGGGTAGGTAAGTTTGAGAAACCGGCTCGAGATACACTTTTTGTTATATTCCATGGAATGCTCTTAACATCCGATAGCAATGAATATCTTAAGTGCTTTGACAAAAAATCCATAACAAAATGTCATCCGTGGAAGCCGTAGTACTGTAAAAAGCCTTTGGGCCTACCTGCCTGTCAGCCTTCCATCTGTGCACAAACTTATCTCGTGCCCTCATTGGTCATGTGCGCGTTAGTGTGTGTTGGAGGAGGGGCTCTGTAAGGAAGTGGCAGATTTGTTCCGGCTGTGTATTTTCAAATTCTAGCGCACTCGAGCTGGTTTCTCCAAAATTACCTACCCCACCTTTAATGTTATTTAAAAAAAATTCCTGGTATGCAAAAAAATCTCACAAATACAGCGTGTACCTACTGTATGTGAATTGAAGTGTGTTTGAAATAAAATACAAAAACACTTAAAGGGGACCTATCATGCAAAATGCACTTTTGTACGTCTTTTATACATGAATATGTGTCCCCGGTGTTCCAGGGAACTCACCAAGTGTCAGAAAACACAACCCTCTCTATTTTCCTCCATACCCAAATCTCTAAAAAAGGGGCTGCAACAGATCTGATAAAAACTGATCCAGATTTGAACACTTTACTGACATCAGGAAAGTGGCGCTACGGCTATTGGGCCAACTCTCCACCTATCAGGGGAATGTGGGGTTGGGCCACGGCCGGCCATTGCCGCTCGAAAGCGCTGGAGACGCTGTAGTACATATGCCAGGCCTGTAAGTGGTGCTGTAGTCTGCCACAAAAGCAGCGAAGAAGACTTGGTTACCATGGTTACCCTTCTGTTTATTCTCCGCTGTGGCTTTCTTTCTCCCTCCCCGAGGCAAGCGTTTGCTCTTTCTGCTGCTTTAATTCAATGCAATCCCTCCCCGTCGAGGCAAGCACTGTAATTCTCTCCGGTTAGTCCACCAGCAGATGACAAACACCCACCTCTCCGCCTCTTCCAAGGAACGAGGGGACCGTGCGGCAGAGTTTCAGTTTCAGTTTCTTTCGCCGGTCAAGATGTCCGTTAAAGTTTAAATCTTCCGGACAAAATTAGAAAAGTGCCGGTCAAAGGTCTTCTTTGTTATTTATTGAGCTTTAAAACAAATGAATAACGACTCTATATAGGCTATAATAAAACACGGAGGACAGAGATCTCTTTTTTTCCCCCTCTTCTGACAGCCCAGCAGCTGATCAGAGCGGCTCCCCTCTCCTGCAGGGGGGCGTGGTCAGCTGCAGCTCACAAAATCAGACCCGTAGACAGCAAACAACACATAGAGCGAAATGAGGCATGGCTAAAATGCATGATCTGTTTGGTATTTCGAAAACAGAAACGTATAAATATACCTTATATAGGTATGGCCCTACAATATATCATTTAAATATAGCATGATAGGTTTCCTTTAAAATATATTAAAGATTTTGTTTTACTTGGTTTCGGCTACAGCAATAGTTACAGATGTGAAATATGAAGCAGTGTAGTATTTTACTTCTTTTTTTTTTTAACAGAGAAATGTTCACAACAACTATGTTTGAAGGGTAGAAGATTCCTTTGCTGTGTCTGAGTGCAAGCAGGGGAACATTTGTATCCTGGCACTGAGTCGTGAAGAAAGACATCAGCCAAACTACACCTCTGTGCAACTGAGCTGTGTGAGCTTCACCTCGTGAAAAAATATACGAGAACGATCAGGACTGCTTGGACAAAACACATTTACTTCCTAGTTTTCAATGCAAAAACATGCAAAGACAGTGATGACGTAGGATGATGTCCCATGTACTTCCATGCAAAAGCAAGTGGTGACAGACTGAAGTTTTAAAAAAGTGTTTTCTATATAAATTGTGCTTGTCCATGGATGTATGGCTGGTCAATATATTGATATTTTACTCATATGGTGACTTCAGACTAGATATTGTCTTTTTTTTTATATTCTTTGAATTTTTCCTGGTTTTAAGAGCTGCATTACACCAAATTGAAGTATTTTTCTGAACTCACCAGACCTGTAGCACTTCAATGTATTTTGATTGGTGAAATGCATCAAAAACTAGCACCAGACATATTATCTCATAATTTGCTGCATTCATGTTGCAATATTAGTGAGACCACTTTTCATTTTCATCCTAAAATATTAATGTGTAGAGCCACTGTGTGTGTGTGTGACTTCACAGTTGAGTGTTATCTCTGTGGTTAGCAGAGTTCCCTTTCCTGTGCTCTTCCTTCTACCGTGTCAAATTTTTAAAGTGAACAGAAATATCAACACATCCATAGAAACCTCCCAAACACTGCCGTGGCGAAACCATTTACCCAGTAAACTAAATCCATATGTTTAAACAGTTATTTGTGTCACCTTTTAGCTAAATTCATTACTTCATGCAGACTTCAAAAGAACAAATAAGGGTTGATGGGTTGAAACAGAAGCAGTGCATTTAGCCATATTAAGGCACATTTAAGATTATGTGGAAAACTCTATAAACAGCAGAGAAGTGGATTGTGCTGCAAGAGGTTAACAAGGTTTCTCCAGTTGTTTGTCTATCCTTTAGAGTCTCTTATTTCTTACGTAAAATTCTAACAAATGTGAACTTTGATTCTGCTGGAATTGCCAGGGCTCATACTTGAACTGTAGACACATTCTTGAGTCTGTAAAGCAGTCTTTTTGAACAAAGGCTAGCAGAACAGAGGGAATCACTAGAGTCCGGCCAATTGGGGAGATATGGTGATGTTTATCCGTCCATCAGCAAGTAAAGATCCTTGTGTTACTGCAGTGGCATAACTATCGATGGTGCAGCCGGTGCAACGCACTGGGGCCCAGAGACGGCCAGGGGCCCATGCAAACCAAAGATTTTTTTTTTTTTTTTTTTTTTTAATATATCTTCTTTTTTTTGGTGGGCCCAAATGGCAATAGCCGCGTTCACACCGGAGTACTTTTCACCGTACTTTTCGCGTTTAGTTCCGTTAGTACCCCTTATGTCGCGTTCACACCAAAAAGAGCACTTAATCTCAGGAACTTTTACCCCCATTTTTAGTGCCTGCTGAGAGATCGTACTTTCCTGGAGGAAAAAAGTGCCCCAGTTCTGGTTGGCTGGGCGAATTGCAAACCACGCCCCGTACAACTCTGAAATGTTTTGTAGAGCCGCCATTGTATTATCCTCGCATTAGCATTATGAGCATTAGCATTCACCCAGCGCACAAACGCAGAGAGACTAACTTATGGCAACACAAAACAAAACATGGGAGCGGTGGAGATGAGGAGGTGTCTGCGTTCTGGCGATTTACTCGGAAGGCTTCAGTAGAAGCTGCTGGGAGTCCCAGCAGCTTCTACTGAAGCCAGTCCCCAACTCCGGGGACTTCCGGCCGGGGACTCCGGGTGGCAGTATACGCCGTGAAGTTGTTTGCTGCCTGCCAGTAAACCCAAAGCAGAAGAAGACTTATGTCGCGTTTCCACTACACGGCCTCGCTCGGCCCCGCTCGGTATGGCTGGGCCTCGTTAGGACTGGCTCACTTTATGGCGCATTTCCATTACAGTTTAGGAACTGGGGCAGTATCTATAGTAACGCAGTGTAGGCGGAGCCGTGACGTGATCTTCAGAGGACCCCAGAAAAACAACACAGCCGTTAGCTGTTAGCACTCAGAGCTCACAGCTCCTCATATATGTTCAGAAACTAGACAAAAGTTAAACAAGTACAAACCACAGACTGCCTGTGTCATGGTGAATACAGTCGCTGCTTTATTTATGTCTGTATAGGCCGTTGTGAGTGTGGACGGTCGGGGCATATACTGCGTTAGCTTAGCCAATCTCCATTTAGAAAACAAGCATTTTAAAAGGTTTTTCCCCTGCCGTCTGTCTGCAGACTTGACAAAGCATTAATTCATGGTTTTTACTAACCGGTATCAGTATGTTGTTACTTCGGCATCATTTTGAAACGTGTATTACAATTAAATCACGGTCAAATATGTCCATCTTGTTGTAGTTGTTGCCCCCTTGCCAGCGACGCTCTCTCTAGTTTAGCATACTCAGCCCGACTCAGCCTCGTTGCCTCTGGCCCTGGCCCCACGATTTTATGAGGCCAGAAAAACTGTGAATTAGGACCCGCCGGCCGGTACTAGGCCAAGTGGAAACGCAACCAAAGACGGGCCGCTGACGTCACAGCCCTCTTAAACCGGGCTGCGGGCTGTAGTGGAAACGCGCCATAAGTGACGTCAGCGGCTCATTTGCGTAATCTTCCCTCAGGGAAAAGTACTCCGGTGTGAACGCGATCTGTACTAAATGCCCTGGGGTCATAAGTGCCGGGGCTCTGAATGCCGGCACTAAATACGGCAAAGTACTTGGTGTGAACGCGGCTATTGACCGGTTCACGCAGTCTTCAAAGTAACCAAGCAACCTAAATGTATTTGTAATTTGTCTGTCCAATGACCTTGCTCCCTTTCATGTCATGTGATACGAGCGAACCATTTAATCAATCTCAAAAGTTATAGGTACTGTAGCTAGCAGCAGCAATTTCGGCAGCATTATAAAAAATTGAATAGCTTGCATTTATAATGTACAGCAAACCAAAGCACAAGAGCGGCGCTCAAAAGAGAAAGGACAAGAGAGAACAAGGAGATGTAACAGCTAAACTGACGAAATTAGACCGTTTTTTTTGTCATACATCGTCCTCTCGATTAATTCTGTAAAGTGATTGTGTGATTAGTTCGCTGTGCCGTTGTCAGGCTGTGGTGGTCTGAGGCCAGGGCAGGCTGTTGTTGATAGTCTACATGTGGCGCTTATAAGTGGTTGTGTGGGTGCGCATCAGTGTGCAATTATGTTTTGGGCGATGGGGGGCCCAAAACAATATTTTCACCTGGGCCAATCACAACCTTGTTACGCCACTGTGTTACTGGGTATATACACAGTAGTGTCTATATAGCAGAATAATACAGGCAGCATAGATGTAGTAAAGTTTAATGGCTGGCATCAACCTAATTACATTCGGTGTAATTGTATAAAATCAAAGTAAGCAGGACATTTCCATTTGTATTTTTTACAAATATGAATTGGCATTTTGTTTTTCAAATCTTAATGTTAAAAAGGGACTGAAAAAATTATACGATTGATCGATTATTAAAACAGTTGGCGATTTGTATTTATTGTCGATCAAGAGGGACATAGTCGACCAATTCATGGTTGATCAAGTGTGTTGACATGTCCTTCAGTGTTAAATAAAAATAAAAAGTACTATCAATATATTTTTGAGATTATCAAAACAACAGTTTGATTGAAATTGCATTGAATAAATATATACAAATATAAATATAAAAGATATAGGAACATTTTCTAGAAACGGAGATATTGATTATTGCAAAGCACACTTTTTGGTTTGCCAGATTGACAGGTTATTAGTTATTAGTCCCTGTAGCGACACTGCACACATCAGCCAGCCCCAGACCCGCCTGCTCTTCGCCACAAGACAGTAATGCAGGTCCGGCCGCGCCTTAACGCCACCTTTCTTCAGAGATCTGGGAGATTTAGCGTTCCTAACATACTTGTTGATACGCATGCTAAATCACGTTCCAACTTCTGAGTTTCTTTCCACGCGAGAACTGTTTCTGAGCGTTAGCAAACGCCTGTAACAAAAACAACAAACAAAGTTACCTGAAACGTAAATGTAGCAGTGACACTCACCGTGAGCATTAGCAAACACGTTATAGATAACCGGTTTACAATCCACCGGTCCAACGCAAATGTTGGAGGAAACGTATCTGTCCGATAATGGAGGCAATGTGAATAGCTGGTTTACCTATCTGCTGGTCGATGGCCTGTTGGGAGAGCTAGGTTTGACAGTGTCTGGTAGAAGTTTAGTTTAACTTCAACAGGGACGACAATTATCTTACCTTAGTAACCGGGTCTCCATCTTTGCAAGCTGCAGCCGCTGCCTCGTCTGAAAGACCTTTATCGCTCATTTTTGCTCAGAGACTGAACAAAGTTGGACCGCAGCTCTGCGAAGCGGACTGACAGGGTGTGGGGCTCTGCTACTGACGGAACATGAAGACAAGCAGCTTCCGGTAGAGGCCTTTAAAATAAAGGCATTGGAATGTACTAACCACACGACCGCACCTGGCAGAGCATTGACGTCAAATAATGACTGACTTGATAATGCATTGGCCTATAGAATGTCCGTTAAATACAGTCATTTCCTATTCATTATACTTTTCATTCCTAGATTATTTTTGAACATTTAGTGAGAATTTTATTATTTACTTTAATTGCTAAAGCATCCTGTCATGTTTTGACGCTACACTTGTGAAATGCCATAACATGGAGGTGCTTTCTTACACAGTGGTATAATGCATTTTGGTTCAGGATTATTTAGGAAATTGCTAAACTTGGGACAACATAATTGGCCCCTTTTCCATGTCGGTACTTTTGCTCTGGACATTTGACGTGAGTTGATCAGAATCTTCCCACGTCAACCTTTATTTTGAAAATAAAGACAGGAAGTTTCCATTTTTAACTTTTGGCACACCAGGCTCAGTATTATGTAATCAAGAAAGCTTGCTACAGAATGCATAATGTACAAACAATTACCTTGCATATCCCACTACATATACACGTACTAGTTTATCTGCACAATCATACACATTAAAATACAATAAAACTGTAATAATTACTCAGATTGTGAAGCACATTATGCTATAAACGATGTTACTCAATTACAAATGTACATTGTAACCCTTATATTGATTTCATATAGCTAATATGATATAATGCATTAGTCCAAAACAAATATCCAAAACAAAAACAACAGTTTGCCATGTAAATTACTTTATTATAGACTAGAGTTATTGCATGGGAGTAGTAACAGAGAACTATATTACTGACTATTAACTATGAACAGTTTTCTTTCATTAGGCTGTGGTGGAACTGAGGACGTTTTATCAAGAGTTCCTGAGACTGTTTTGCTGCAAGAGACGGGACAAGACACTTAACCCAGATGGCAGTAGAGGGTATGCTTCTCAGGATTTCATTCTTTCTTTCAAAAAGGACTATTTATGTTTATAAGGGTTGACAAATACTTAAACCAAATAAATCAGGGTTTTTCCTGTAGGGAGTTATACAAAAATTTCAGTTTGAAAGAATAGTAAACATTTATAATTTTATAATCATCAATGTAGAAGCCTGACAGCATGACAAACATTTTCCCAATAACGGATTTCTAACAGTGAACAGCGCAGACCACTATCTTTTAAAACGGAATAAGAGTAAACTGTTCCTTTCACCTCCGCCTTCCTCCAGCTGCATTATAACATTGCCAACATGTGTTTAAAAACAAACAAAAAAACATATTCCCATTTTAAATACCACAGTCCCGTGGTCATACCCCTGTTACCCTATGCATTGACAAGAGATGAGAGGAAAAAGAAATACATGAGAAAACGAAAGGAAAGCCCTTTTCACTGCGATGATCATCCTCGTGCTCCAGCAGAGCGGGGTTTAGTAGCTGCGTCCGAAAAGGGTGTAGTACTTGGCGGGCTCCTTCCCGCAGACACACTTCTGCCCTGGCTGCAGTGTCTTCAGGGGAGAGAAGGGGATGCAGAGGCTCTTGGCCCCCATGGACGGGGCCCCAGGCTCCAGGTCCTGGTCCCTACAGGATGACAAAGCACAAACATGTTGGGATTAAATATCTATGGAAGCCCAGAGGGGATCTAATAATGAAAATGATAAATAATCCAATTTGGCTTGAAGTGTTAGATATTTTGTAGCTCGTAAATGTTTCTGTAAAAAACCTGAACTCGCTCCTATTTTAGATTAGTTGGTTATGTATTGTAAAAACGTTCAGTATAGTGCCTGAGTGGAACATTTGTCATAAAATTCTGAAAAAATGCATTAGTAATGACACCATAAAACAGCAGACAGTGAATTGTGTCGCACCCCATGACTGAATGATGTGACACTTATTATTGCATATCTATATATTCATCTGTAAAGATAATGATATGCGTGACTTGATTGTCTTTCGCTCCTTTACAAAATGTGTGTAAAGCTTTAACTCTTCACATGTCAGAGAGCGTTATGTTGACAGTGTTGTGTTGGACGTACTTGGCAGTGGTTTTCTTGATCGAATCCTCGCAATCAATTTCCCCACAGAAGGGGATCTGGACAATCTGTGAAGCGAGATAAATGTGTTATCAATTATTTACACGTGTAGAGGAGAGACAGTTACATGTTTGTAGTTTTTGTTACTCACCTTGCCCTGCTCCAACATTTTCTGGAACTCTTCCATTGTGTCTGCAGCCACCATGTTGCTGTTCAGGTCATCTGACGCTCTGACAAACAAACAACACAGACTTGGTCAATCCTCTTGTTTGTATATGGACGCCATGAAAGCATCTCTTCATTCTGCTGTCATTGTGTGGGTTCTCATATCCAGCTGCATCTGTTACAGTCTCTGGGCATCATTTCAAACACAATGTTGCCCCCAGCTGGTTTGGATACAGGATGACTTTAAACGCGAAAATATATTTTCCTTTAGGCACTTGCATGACATATAATCTAAATTTGGCTCAAGTCTTAACAAAAGGTTCTTTACGTGCTGCTATTCTACAGACTTTAAAGAAAACCATTAACCATAAATATACATTTAAATACGTTTTTAAAGGAAAATTAGATAAATTCTATGAATATTCTCATTCCTTCCAATGTCATAAATTAAAACCCAATTGCAATATCAGTCAAAATAATCACAATTATATATGTTTTTCAAAATGGTTACCAAGGGATAAGGGTATATTAAACTCAAAATGTGGACGTTTTTATCGCCAAATTTGATGAAATTACTTGCAGGCATTCTTGAGATATCGCATTTATAAGAAAGATGCTGATGGACCACTTCAAAAATGTCTCTCTGTATGTGAGACATTATAAAAAAAGACCCTGGTGTGTAGTGCTGCGTCTCACTTCTTGAACAGGCTGCTCTGGATGTCTTCCAACATGGCCACCAGCTTCTTCTCCACCTCGGCCTCTGGAATCGTCACCTTGGCGCCAGAGTCTCTCCTCACGGCGACACACTGACGCTGCTGCATGTCTTTAGGACCCACCTCCAGACGGATAGGAACGCCCTGGAGGAGAGACACAGATTAAAACAGTGTGTCATTATAAAGCCTTTACAGCAATCACGTTATATTTAATATGTAGTCTAATATTAAATGTCAGAATTAGAATACCCTTATTTGTCCCACAGAGGGGAAATATACATTGTTACAGCAAGTAAAGAGCCAAAGATAGCTTAATATTGATTAAGAATAAAAGATAAAAATAGAAACTACACAAATTACAATTAACAAATTACACATCTAGTAACAGTATTGTAAACAAATCTGTGTAGCATGTATGAAATAGTGTGATAGCATCCAGAAGATAATATTCAAAGTGGAATTATATATTGCAGATTTATTACAGAAGTTCAATTGTCTAATTAAGGGACAGCAGTGGGTAATAATAATAAGAATTATGAAGCGTCATATATATATATTGCACATAAGTACAATTGCCCAACAGGGGTGTTATATTCTTTGTTGTTATATGTGTGTGGGGGTCGTGGGCCTTTAGGTAAAGATTTCCTTGACTAAGACTAACACTTTTCTGATGTCATTATTTCTAACCTTGAGCTCCCAGTGGTTGAACTTCCACCCTGGGGAGTAGTTGTCCCGGAGGTCGCTCTTCACCCTGACGCCTGCAGCCAGCAGCCTGCTAAGGTACTTCGAGCACTGGGCCAACACAGCCTCCTTGTCCTGCTCCGGCAGCGAGGCAGTGAGCCCACATGGGATGATGACAACCTGGATCAGAGAAGAAAAAGTTACAAATATAGAGCTTTATACTTGTTTTGCTTGTATGTACCAGTTTTTTTTGTATCATAGATTGGGTGTTTACTCTAGCAAGGGGATTGTTCTTCATATATTCCTTTGTTAAAATCTAAGAATTAGTTAAAAGCAGGTTGCTTCAGGGGTATGCCTTTACAAAATTGTCAGTCAACGCATTTTCCAACAAGCTTATCTACTGCATGCAACTGTCTTTGATGCTTGGGATGATTGACACCAAAAGAGTAACTCTAAAGGAATATAAATCACTCTCTCCCTTTCCTCTCCAAAGATGAATGTCTGACATGATTACAGATGGAAAACTAACTCAATCAAAATAATAAAAAAGTATGCCTTGCAGGTATAAACGAGGCTAGAAAAGTGTGAGTATAGCCTTTAAATAAAATACGTATATATAAAAAACACATTATAATAACTGTCTCTCCATGTGTCTGTGTGAGAATGTGTGTATACCTGGAGGCAGGCCACTTTGGGGGGCAGAACGAGTCCCATGTTGTCTCCGTGCACCATGGTGAGGACACCGATGGTCCTGGTCGTGATTCCCCAGGAGTTCTGGTAAACCAGCTGTTTCTCACCTGGCCTCTTGGGATCCTCAAACGTGATCTCGAACATCTTGGCGAAGTTCTGACCAAGATGGTGAGATGTAGCACCCTGAGGAGGCAATGACAGAGCAACAATTACTTCATGTTATTTTTTACAGTGCAATGTTCTAATACCAACTCTAACCATCAATGACTGTGTGAATCATGTTTGGTTTCTTTGCTTGTCATTATAGAAAAATAACTTTGATATTGTGATGGCCTTGGTGTAAAACAGGATTAAATGAAGTGATCCAGTGCACAGCTGTACCTGAATGGCGCGGCCGCTGGCAGAAATGAAGGCCTCGACAGTGGTGGTGTAATCTCCTCCTGCAAACTTCTCCTTCTCCGTCTTCCTGCCCTTCACCACGGGGATGGCCATCAGCTCTTCATACACCCTGGCGTACAGATCCAGGATTTGGAGCACCTACAAATACAAAAATTTAAAGCACACAAGCACTATTCGTTTTGTAGTCCTTTTACACTCATTTTGGTACTGTAAACTACTGGTACTGTAATAGGCATCTCATACATTTTTATTTATTTTTTGTCAAAGGGACCCTATTTTGCTATTTTTCCTTCCCTGTCGTGTGTGTGGATGTAAATGGTCTGCAAAGGCTAAAATTCTAAAGTTCCCTCCAGAGGGAGTTTCTCTTCCATGGTTTCAGACAGAGGGTGAAAAGAGGTGCTGCAGCACAGGCAGAAAAATACAGACCTTTTTGAACGTTAAAGCATGGAGACATGTCACAGTAGAGGCACAAAATACTAATATGAACCTGAACATTTGCATAATATATGTCCTCTTTAAACGTAATGCATTGTTAGCAGGCGCTTACCTCCTCAGCTGCCTCCTCTTTGGTGGCGAAAGCTGTGTGTCCCTCCTGCCATAGGAACTCTCTTGTCCTCAGGAAAGGTTGGGGGTGTTTGAACTCCCACCTCTGGAGAAGAAAATAAGGAAGCAACAGGTGAGAAAAGAGAAAAATGCTTCTTCTGTGTACCAAAATACAGAGGTAAACAAAGAGGTATGGAATACAAACTGCAGATACGAATGGTGCACACGTGACAGGAGGAGGATACTCACCACAACGTTACACCACTGGTTGAGTTTGATGGGCAGGTCTCTGTGGGACTGGACCCATTTGGCAAAGGCGGGGTACATCGCTGAGGCAAAGAAGAACAGAGCACAGGTTCATACCAGTTAGCAAAACCAGGACTATCATTGTGTTAAAAATTAAAGATATTCCATATTGTACAGTCTTAAAAAGCTGTGTTACAGACCTGTCTCACTAGTGGGTCTGACCGCAATGGGCTCTGCCAGCTCAGTGTTTCCTGACCGCGTAACCCAGGCAACCTGACAAAGATAAAAAATAATCACTGATAAATAATTAGATTAGATTTACTCTATTGATCCCAAATTAGGATATTTTTTTATAGTAGCATTGTTAAAACTGAATTGCAAGAAATAAAGATTCAATAAAATAAAAAGTAAATATATACAAATATACATACATCTATAAAATACAAAATATATAACAAAAAAAACATGTTTGACCCATTTGACTTTAATAAGATTATTATTGTTTGAACATTTGTCAAATGTTTAAGATTAAATATTCCTAAATCATCTTTTGGGTGAATTACACTTTACACTTAAATGTACAAGTTCATTTGAGTCTCTCTTTGCTGTCAATTATTATGGGCTTTGACTTCAATGAGGGAGGATATGCGTTTGGATATGACTTTGCTGCTGCAACAGGCTACCACTTATTCATCCATTATTCAGCTATATGCATTATCTTCTTGAGTCCGTAAAGTAAATTCCTCGTATTGATATTTCCATCCCTTCTCCCTCTATTGTGTTGATTTTCTTCCCTGGGAGTTCCTTTTACCTCTGGAGCGAAGTCTTCAATGTGGGATTTTTCCTTCTCCAGAGCGGCCTGAGACACAAACATGGGGAAGTAGCAGTTCTCCACACCCAGTTTCTTGATCTCCGCGTCAAAGAAGGCTTGGATGGTCTGCCAGATGGAATAAGACCAGGGCCGCAGCACATAGCAGCCGCTCACATCGTAGTACTCAATCATCTCTGCCTTAGTGATGACCTGCAGGGGAAGGGCAGTGTTAGAATAAAAAAGGCATTTAAAAAAAAAAATGTATTGTTTTGAATGGCTTTACTGGAAGTAGAAACATTTTAGATTGGAGTCACTCACCTGAGAGTACCAGTCAGAAAGGTTCTCCTCTTTCTTGGCCTCTAAGCCCAACCTGTTAGGAAACAGAGAGCCAAGTTAGCAAACCAAGAGGGCAAGAGGTCCAAAACACGACAATAACACATTACTTAAAGTGGACCTATCATGCCATATTATAATAATATAGTGTAGGACCATACCTATATAAGGCATATTTATACTTTTTTTTTTTCAAAATACCAAACAGATCATGCATTTTAGCCATGCCTCATTTCGCTCAATTTGCACTTTTTTAGCTCTGTTTTTGCAAGGGCTGATTCTGTGAGAACAGCACCACTTACAGGCCTGGCATATGTACTACTGCGTCTACAGCGCTTTCGAACGGCAATGGCCGTGGCTGTCTCCTCCTGATTGGTGGAGAGTTGGCCCAATAGCCGTAGCGCCACCGTCCTGACGTCAGGACAGTGTTCAAATCTGGATCAGTTTTTATCAGATCCGTTAAAGCCCCTTTTTTAGAGATTTGGGTATGGAGGAAAATAGAGAGGGTTGTGTTTTCTGACACTTGGTGAGTTCCCTGGAACACCGGGGACACATATTCATGTATAAAAGACGTACACAAGTGCATTTTGCATGATAGGTCCCCTTTAAAGTGTTTATGTGTGGTAAAAAGGCATTTTTGAGCCAAAGCCTGTCTGTTTTACTGTATCAGGGATTTCTTCACAGTTTAATTATCTTATTGCTGAAAGAGCTATGTGTTTCTAGTGGTTTCTAAATACAGTGGCAGAGCATTCTGGGAAATTACAACAACACAAACAGAAATATCAGGAGTGATTAGTGAGTCTGGGTGAAGATACAAATATACCACTCAGTGCATTAACACAATTCTCACAAAACACACATCCATGCATGCTGCACAATTGAATCAATAGCCCAGTCTGCTCTGATTGGTTAGCTGGCCGGCTTGAGATGGTCAACGACTAGAGATGTCCCGCCCCTTAGTCGATCACGTACATTGTGTTTGTGCTTAGCCAATAGAATCATGAGTGTTACATTGTGATGTTATCATGTCACTAAGTAAACAAAGGAGTCCAATGGAGGTGTTTCAACGAGGGGGGTGGGGGATGTCTATGATTTTAGGACATGAACTCTTCCTTGTTTAAAATCATAATAAAATACATTAAAAATAAAAACACACACAGAAACACACACAATCCCAGCCAACTGTGCAACTCAAAGCTCAGATCCGTAGCTATAAATCCAGCAAACCGTCTGCTAACGGACAAAAAGGAGATATTTGGGTCATATTGTGATCATGATTATAAATCTTTATCTGAGGAACAGAACTTTTTATTATACTTTTTGCATCTAATATCAAAACCTTTTCATCGTCAGCAGAGTTTAAGGGTGCTGATGCGTTCTGTACTTACTATGGATAGAAAACCATGCAAAATAGAGATATTTATACATATTAGCAGTGCAGCACTATCATTAGAGAGATCCAATTTCCTTCTAAAAGCTAACAGCAGACTACAAGCACTGATCAAGCAGATGAAAAACACACCAACCATTTAGAACTCACCAAATCTGAATACAAAAAGCTACAGTAGCAGAGGGTTGTGCTTCCATCTTCAGTGTCCGAGTAAAAAAATCCAAGTATGTCCCGACAATGTGTCACCGCTCTAGTATTTGTTTAAAGACTAAGACCAACAACTCATGGCATTGTAAGGTGTAAAAATATATCCATCAACAGATAGTTACTACACGGTATGTGGGAGTGGAAATCCCCAAAGTAAATTATTGCCATTTTAAAAATGTTGTGATTTTCTGAGCTTTGCGAGAGCATATATTGCGATTTATTACCCGTTTTCAACCACAAATTTGCCAACATCTGTTTTATCTAATGAGTAAACAGTTCAATTTGTGTTTAAATATAAATACTTATATATTTTAAAAAGATTTATACTTAGTGTTAGATAAAACATTGACACACATAATAAACCTATACATGCTGTGCCGGTTTTTCCCATAATCCTAATGTTAAGTGTGTTGTAGTAGTAATCCAACACCTCTATAAACAACAATGTATCCCTCCAAGGAAGAATCTCATTCAACCAGCTATCACATGCCCAAAACAGAATTCTGAGAAGATATTCAAGTATAAGATTTTTTAATTGGCTCCTCCTCCAGCCAAATACTTTTCAGCCAACCAACAGCAACAGAATATGATCTCGCCATACATCTAACTTCAGTGTACAGAGCATTGCTCCACGTGTGGGATGATGAAGAAATTGTCTAACTATGGTTAGCGACAATAAATTGGAATTTGGGAATACATCTGCATTTACAGAGAGAGACTGAAAGAAAGAGTACAAAGTAGGAAAGTTGACTTCAGATGCAAAAAGTAAAATAACAATTTGTTCCTCAGTATCCTTCAAATTATGTTTACAGTAATTGTTGTACAATTATCATAAATCAGACAACAACTTGAAATTACAGAAGCTACCAGAGGAAGGGAAAGCTTGTTTAATTATTTCTTAACCTCTCTCCTCTTATGTCAGTTCAGTCTCTCACCGTGTTTGTTTCTTAGATCCTTGACCCTCTCCTCCTCCTGCTCCTCCTGCTGCCTCCTTTCCTTGGCCACCTTTGTCTCCTTTACCCTTCTTCCCTCCTCCTCCTCCTCCTCCTCCTCCTCCTCCTCCTCGTTTCTCAGACTTGTTCTCCCTCTCCTTGCGGTTCTTGTCCTCTCCTCCTGTGGCTCCAGCAGCAGCCACTGGTTTGTAATCCTGTCCTGTGAGCGTCTTGTACTGGCTCTTCAGGTCAAGCAGAGCCTTCACGGCTGCATCCACCTGGTCCTGAAACAGAGGGAAAGTCATCATTTTCATCCATCTCCAGTCCTAGTTGTATTTAACCCTAATCTGTAATTGTAGCCTTACCTTGGGGGCCTTCTCGGTCTTCAGCTTCCTCACTAGCTCTCCCTGTTGTGACACCTGTGAGAACAGTTCCTGGGCCTGTGGTGGGGAGCCGGCCTGGGTGGAGGGAGCGCTGGGCGGGGTCTGGGCTTTGCTAGCAGGGGCTTGTGCTCCCAGTTTGTAATCCTGTCCGGTCTGCTGCTTATACTCCGCCTTTAGAAGCAGCAGCTGCTTCACCGCTGCATCGACCTGATCCTGATCAACAGCCAGCAACAAGGAAAATATTTAGTCATCACCGCAGAGACAGTCGAGGTCAATTCCACAATTTAAAAAAAACTCTGGTACACTGCTGGTGGCAGTTATGGTCTCACCTTTGAGGCCTTTTCAACCTTCAGTTTCCTGACCACTTCTCCCTGCTCAGAGACCTTCTCATAGAGGCCGGAGGCAGCAGGAGCAGAGCTGCTCTGGACTGGGGCGGGGGGTTTTTGGACTGGGGCGGAGGATCTTTGGACAGGGGCTGCTCCAGGCTTGTAGTCCTGGCCTGTGGCCTCTTTGTATTCGGCCTTCAGGACCAGCAGCTGTTTGACTGCTGCATCCACCTGATCCTGGGGACACACGGACAAGGATGCTGTGAATCAGTTCATGTTTTCATAATTAGGAGCCTCTGATGGGTTGACACTTGTTCAGCACAGCTAACATAAGCACTGGGTCAAAATGACATGATGTTTTCAGCATAAAACTGTAAAGCCACTTTTTTCCCATAAATGTATTTATGCACTCTTGACCCTTGTTCTAACACTTTTTTGGATCTCTTATTTATATATTTAACTATGTATTTTTAATTCATCCTATAATATAATAATGAAATACAACATATTACAACTTAAACACAGCAAACAGCCCCAGCTTTTGTCACTGCAACTGGTGGAATCAGAGTCAACGGTTTTTTCAATTCACAAATCTAATCTGCCTAATGTCAAGGTCAGAAATGAGATGAGTATTGACCATTCAGGTAAATGCTGATTTCTGTATAGATGCATGTAACATCACCTGTCTTTAACCAACCACTTTAAACCAGTGAGAAAGCACAGAAAAGGAAAAATACTGTTATCACTTATGTGAAATAACACAAAACTGTTCAAACTGTGCAGAAAACTATGAAGGACCTCATTACTCTTAGTAAGATCATACGCTCGATTATTCACTCGAGAAATTGAATAGTCTGGTATCAATGTGTTAGACATATGTATTCGATGTTGTATTTGTATGAGTATTGAATTACCCGTGATAAGTGACAATAAATAGCTACTTGCAGCATCACACAGATACTCTCAAATGTTCTTTCGGCTGTGTTTTCTGATTTTTTCACTACATGAATACCATGTGCAATGTTTCATCAGAATACCTTGGGGGCTTTTTCAGACTTCAGTTTCCTCACAACTTCCCCCTGTTGAGAAACGCGCTCATACACGCCCGAGGAAGTGGAAGAGGAGGGGGTGGTCGCAGGAGAAGGAGCAGGGGAGGGAGGGGCCATCCCAGGTTTGTAATCCTGACCGGTCAGCTGTTTAAACTCTGCCTTGAGAGCGAGGAGCTGCTTCACTGCAGCATCAATCTGGTCCTGATATCATCAAGAAACCAGCTCATTGTTGCAGGTAGTGATGGATAAACTTTACTGGCATGCAGACAACGTAGAGACATGACCAATGGAGGCGACACAAACAATGGAATGGGACACGGGCAATGGATGGGACACAGTCAATAATGGGGACACGAACAATGACTGGACAAATCATTTGGGACACAAGTAGCGAGCAACAACGCAGAACGAAATTTGGACGCAAGACCATGCTTTTCAACAAATGAGGACCCAAGAAAGCTTTAAACAAATTACTCAGGAAGACGGAAAGAACACTTGACGAAAGTGCTGATTCACAGATGAGGACATGAACAGCGACAGGACAGTCGGATGGGGACAATATAAGCATCGTACCTTAGATGCCTTCTCTGCCTTCAGTTTCCTGACCAGCTCCCCCTGCTGGTTGACGCGGGTTAGTGGACAGGAGGAGGCAGAGTTTGTTGCAGTGGTGGGCAGAGCTGCAGCAGATGTGGGAGGAGCCATGCCTGGCTTGTAGTCTGTTCCTGTCTGCTGCTTAAACTGTGCCTGTAGAGAGACGGTTACAATGAGTTTCCACACCATTTGTATAGATAACACTCTCCATCAGGTACTCCATCAGGTATTTTTATTACAGCTGACATACCTTTAGGGAAAGCAGCTGCTGAACCGCATTGTCGACTTCCTCTTTAGGAGCTTTGGCAACCTTAAGCTGACGTACAGCTTCACCTTGTGCTAAAATGCTTGAGAATATGTCACCGGCTGAGGATGAGGCAGGTGCGGGGGCGGGGGCAGAGGCAGCCTTGGCGGGGGCAGAGGCAGCCTTGGCGGGGGCAGAGGCAGCCTTGGTGGTGGTAGAGGCAGGCTAAAATAAGAGGCAAGGCAGGCAGATAAGGAGAGTGATCCTAAAACTTTGAAACACCTTCCCTGTTGTGATCGAAGACTGCGGCTTTGTGTTTTTAAATCTGACCTCACAGACTATCTATTCTTAGGGCTCTTAATGATTTGCTAAATATTTGCAATAATAGCTTGACCAGCTTGCAATCACTGTCCCTATTAGATTTCTGCTACTGCTGTTTGATGTCCAAAATAGAGACTAGATCAGTATAGATGACTCATTTTACATTCAGAAACTAAAGACCAGAGTGCACTCGTATCTAAATAACAAGCTGACTTGAAGTGAAGGTCTGTAGCTACTATTTGATGATTTAAAAAGGAACCTTTCACTGATAACAACTGTGATTTATAGATATAATTAGGGATACAGGTGTTTGCTAGATCCATTAAAAAACATTCAAATGTGGGTTGTCTTCCCAAGCACTCACTGTGTTGCTGGGGGCCTGGCTCTTGCTCTTGTCCTTAGATCCAGCAGTGGGCATATCCTTGGTGTGTCCGTCAGGAATGTAGAACAGCACACAGGGGCTCTCCTTACAGCTGTTAGGACTGTGGAAGGTAACCTCAGTTAAACTCAGTGATCTCCATGAACTGTGGGGTGGTTCAAACTGAGTAATAAATCCTGTTCCTCACCTTACGGGCTCGTAGGGCTGGTCGCAGATGTAGAAGCCCCGCCTCTGGAGCTGGATGACGTCACCTTTCTTACACGACTTCAGGCAAGGATCTCCAAGCATCTGCTCCTCCGACTGAGAAAAATGATTATAAGACATTGAACGAAAACATTGGAAAATGGTGCAACGCATGTCATGAGATTTGCGATGCAGAAACAAACCTTGCTGTTTTTATTGATGTAGTCCTTGAAGTCGTCTTCTTTGGTGATGACGGCTTTGGAGATGAGGGGCTGGTAGTTTATGCAGATGGCAGGCAGCAGGGGGGCGCTGTTGGTTTCAGCCAGCCACGTGATCTTTGTCGTCTTCTTGAAGTCCTTGTTGTCCAGGTTCAGGCGAGCATCCATGGACACGACCTTGCCATCGGCCCCCCTGAGAAAGTAGAAAAGGTGCATATTGTTACTTTAATGCACCTGATGTTGTGATTCTCAACAACGATATTGAACAGTTCTCTTCGTACTTGTTAATCTTGGTGATGATGAGGTTGCCCCAGTTGATGAAGGTGACCATCTCTCCCTCTGAGAAGGTCTCTGCATCGGCTCCTTCAACCAGAACGCGAGGTCCGTACCAAACCTCCTTCATGCCAACCTCTGCGTTCTGGATGGACACAGAAATGACTTCAGCACTTGCATGTGTACTAAGAAAATGTTGGTACTCAAGTAAGTGAGATAACCTCTAATAACTCCTTAAGTCCGTAAAAAAAAACACTAAATTGAAGTTGTATACCTAACACGCACACACACGTATATTTCTGAGAAAATCTTGAATATTCTTGTGATCACAAACTTATAATATAAACATAAAGGCATTGCATATTAGTCAATTGAATGACAATTGACCTTGTGTCTGAATGAATTCACAGATGTACTCAACCTAAATGTGTCATTGTCAGGAATTATTTACTTCACATTTTTCTTTCAAAACCCCCCCCGCCCAAAAAAATATTAAGAGTAAGGTCCCTTCTCTCACAATAGTGTTATTTTCTTTTAAATTCATTAGTGACACAGGGAATGTGTTTATATGCGTTATTTCCATTCTGTATTTGGCTTATATCCTGACAAAAGGTATTATCTTTTCAATATTTTTCCTGGCAAATTTATAAATGTACTCTTGTAAATTCGCAAGTCTAATGGGGAGGTAATATTTTGAGGATTTTTCTCTAAAAAAAGTTATTGATTTGTTTCTTTTATTGTGTTTCGTTTATTGTGTGTGTGTGTGTGTGTGTGTGTGTGTGTGTGTGTGTGTGTGTGTGTGTGTGTGTGTGTGTGTGTGTGTGTGTGTGTGTGTGTGTGTGTGTGTGTGTGTGTGGTGTGTGTGTGTGTGTGTGTGTGTGTGTGTGTGTGTGTGTGTGTGTGTGTGTGTGTGTGTGTGTGTGTGTGTGTGTGTGTGTGTGTGAGCGCTCTAACCTTGGGGTGCTTGGCCATCTCCTTCATCTCCTCCTTAGCCTCTGAGACGGTGACAGGAACCACATAGGAGCTGGACAGAGCTGTGAACCTCGGAGCCACTGGGTCGATTACCTAACACACACAAAGACAACACATACACACAAACAGGTGAGTATAAGAAACAGCAGACTTAAGCTTTGTAATAATCTCTACATACAAAATGCTGAGTAATGAAAGGACAAAGCAGAACATGATGCAACTTAATTAAAAAAAAAACTCTTTCAAAACTAAACAAAAATAGATACAAAAAACCCCAGCTCAGTAAGAAATAAATATAGAAAGTAAGACGTAAAAGAAGAAAGTAAAAAGAAAAGCAGCTTTCATGAGTGATTCATGGTCGTATGCAGGCGAGGGTAGAAAAGCAAAACAAGTTTTTATTGAGCTGCTGATTCAGTCTTCATCCACTCACACTATTTTACCAGCCAAAGGACGCCGCATGATTTATAATAGACAATCCAGCAAAAGCAGATCAACACCAGCCCAATATATTTGTTGTGATTTAGTAAATAAGGGGCGAAACACTTTTTAAATCCTACATAAAAGAAATGTAAAATTCTCTCTAAAAAAAAGACAATGGACTAAAGAATTAGAATCTCTGGGGTTTTAGCCTTTGCAGACCATTTACACATACACAAAAACCTATATAACACACTACAGGAAAGGGAAACTCCAAAAAGAATAATAGGGCCTCTTTAAATAAATTGTTTGCACTTTCAGTGGACAGGATGCTTTGGTCAGGCTGGTTACATTTAGACAATGCAGTCTAACTGTAGAAGCCCAAATTATTCCCACAACTGGTTTGGAATCCGGTATAATCAATTGGCACCTCCATTTGCCCTCCAGAAGCTTGATGTTTTGGGCAATAATGTCATGAAAACCGAAGCAAGTACACATCACTACTTTCAGTTCAAGACTTCAAGACCATCAGTTTTTATCAGTGAGGATGGAGAATTGAAAACAACAACAATGTGTACAAGTTAGCATCCATCGATTCAGAGATGTAGAGAATCCAACCTAAGGATAACTAGTTCACCAATCAGTTCAACCGACTTCGTAGTTTCTCCCCTGCTCAACCCATGCTAAGCTAATATCTCTGACTTCCTGCTACACAAGAATACTGCCTTTCGCTTTTTAACTGTTGGCTGGTAAAACAGTGAAGCTTTCAGATAAACCAGCTCAAGATGGAAGCAGGAAGGGAGTGGGTGAAAATGAGCAGGAGGTGGAGGAGAAGGGAGGAGGAGTACCTTCAGAAAGCTAATTGGCAGCTTGGAAACAGAAGAGTGAGATGCTGTTTAATGTCGGATACAAGGAGGGAACAAGGAGGAGGTAGAGAGGAGAGAGGTAGAGACACATTTACATAGAATGGAACGTTTTACATTATTTCTCCTCACCGCTTTGTTACACCTTCCTGTTTTTGTTTGTCTGTTACATTTCCACCTCCACCCTTCACTCTTGTATTTAAAGCACATATTGCTACACTCCATCTGGGATGCTAGTCTGTTATGAAGCAACAATATCCAGCAGGCTAAGGAATACAGGAAATTGATAAATTAAATATAAATTAGATAAATAAATAAAAACTGTACTATAGCAAACGTTCCTTTAAAGTCGAAATAGACAAGTTTTTAGCTTTAACTTATCATTACGAAGTCAGAGTTGACTCCACCACTATTATTAAAAAATAATGTTTATTTTAAAAAGCCTCGCTTTTAACGATACAATTCTGTCTACCACCGGGTACAATCTGGCTTTATTTAAAGCAAGCAGAAAGTGCTTCAATTATTGCGCAACCAAAACAGGAAAAAGGAAAGCAATTTTGTTTTACATGGTAGCTATTTGTAATTATCCCAAGCCTCCAGGAAGTGTGCTGGTCGTTGAAGCAAATTTTCGGCAGTAAGGGCCAAACGGACGTACTACACTCCAGTTCTACTCTGCGACGTAATCTTGGCTCAAAAATACCTTTTCCTATTGACTTACCTTGGGAAAGAAACGTCTGTAAATCAGTGTATTTCCAACAAAAAATTCCCAGAAAACTCAAGTGCGCATGCTCTTTCGGCAAAAGGCCCCGGATGATCTGGGTACTTTCTGAATCTACAGTCGCTCCATTTTGGCTTCATGCGACACTGAGCAACTTAGGAAATAGGAATGAACGGTGCCCAGCCTCCGACCTTGTATCCAGTTCTCTAGATAATTCCATGAGTTATCCCAAATTACCAAAGAGTATCAATGTCATTTATTTGCGGTAACTATCCCCAGTAGTATAAAAGCTAAGGGTGGAATAAGTGAAGTGTAAAAAATAAAAAGCTGTGACAGTGTTGCTAACATTTTCTGATGCGAGTAGCTAGCACTGGCTCCAGAAATTGCCAGAGGACAACATACATTTAAACGCATAATGGCAACGTCATTTTCCATTCATTTGCTTAAAGCTTGTTGATGAGAAGAGAGAGAATGGGTAAAGTTGTCTATTGCCACACAGGTGCAAAAGTTGGTGCTATTCTTTTATATATCTGAATGTCTGTGCCCAATACACACATCAGAGTTCACTGAACTCTGAGGCTTAAGCTAAATATTAGACTATCCCAAACAAACTATTGTAAAGTATGTTTGTAACCGCATTCAAACATGAGCTGCTGTAACGCCAAATTCAAATACGGCCAAGTTGACCTGAAGGAACTTTGGAGCCTTGACAGAAGAGAGTGTGTTAGTTGAACATGCATATAAAGCAAAAGTTGGTCCCTAAATCTCAAACTGACCCCAACGACGTCAGGACTTTTGGAAGCTATTTTAATAGAAAAATGCGTCCAAAGAGTCTGTATTCAACTCTACCAATCAGAAGTGATGCATAACCTTCACACTTCAAACTATCTTATTCGTGTGTTCCCTAGCTTAATGCTCTCTTTGTTTATATAGTTTTTTTTAAGCATTAGTTTCACAAATTCTACTTGACCCTGGGATGAAGCAGCAGGTGCCAGCGAGTAAGACCACACAGAGGAAGCAAAAATGATGTCCAGAAAGATGAAGATGAGGACAGCTAAACATAAAGACAATCAAATGTGGGACATGAAAAAAAAGCAACTGGTTTTTGAGGTTGTCAGTGTTATTGAGGGGTTGATATGGTGGGTGATGGTGGGGTATAATGAGGCAGGAAACCAGGTAGCAAATAAAAGCGAACAGAATGAGAACAGCAAAGCAGAAAGAAGCCATGCCAGCAGTGGACCTCATCATAACTAAATTCCATCTTTCCCTAACATACATCCAAAGTAGAAAATGTACCTTCTTATTGAAGGCCCAGATCTTGTCCCACTCCATGTTCACCACTGACCGTGATCCACCCTGGAAAGACGCAGGGGAAAAAACAAAACACATTATTAGAATAAAATATATTGTATTGTACACAAAGTGGAATCTTTAATTCATTACATTTGCAAATAGGAAATTGTCATGAAATAAAAATGTTAAACCCACAAATTCTATCATTTCAAAAGGTGCCAAATGCTGAGTCCAAAACTGTTAGAGTTGGCTCAGGTAAAGAGAAGAGTTGAGCATTTTAGAGAGGAAGCCAGGCTGTTCCCCTGTCCATCTCTAAACATGACTGTGATGTACCTGTGCTGCAATGAACTGTTTCAGACCCTCGACGGTCATCCCTCTCCTCAGGACTCCTCTAACAGTGGGAAAGCGGGGGTCATCCCTGGAGGGCGATATGAGAAAAGTCAAAAGAGAACGTAAAGGTTGCGAGAGAAAAAATATATAAAGTTAAAGGGAGGATGAGGAGGAACACTGGAGGACCAACAAGACCTCCTGATTATGAGAGAACATTTTTTTATCCTCATGCCGGTTGCTCAATTTCAGAATATAAGATAATAAGAGGAAAAACATAAAATAAAATAAAGAGAAATATATTTACATAGAGGTTGAACTAAAAAGTGCAATAAGAAGATAAAATAAATAATTTAAAAAAATGATATTGTGCAAGAGATTACAATAAATAAGACACCTCATGCATTACACATTCCTAAGCATCAGTCAGGAAGAAAATCAACGTACCATCCGTCGACGTATCCCTGCTCCACGAACCAGGTGAGCTTCCTCTTGGAGAGCACCGTGTTGTTGAGGTTGAGGCGGGCGTACTCCCAGATGTAGGGCTTCCTGAGGTGCAGAGCGTTGATGAACCAGTAGAACTGCTCGTCACGATCGTGGTACTCGGTGGTCCTCAGAGCGTGGGTAACACCCTCCAAGCTGTCCACGATGGGACAGGCAAAGTCGTACGTTGGGTAGACTCTGGAAGCAAGGAAGGTTTCGACGATGAATACTTCATTATATGATGCAAATATCCTGAATTATTTTTATTGTTTCCCCTCCCTGGACTTATTTAACTCTCAAAGCAGTTTAATGTTAAAGATCTGTGTTTTTCTGATGCCGTTCGGCTGCCAAAAATGTTTGTTTCTCAGATAACTTAAGGTCCGGAGGTTCCTCATCCGGTTAAAATATTCAATTTTAAATATCTAGAAAGTGTATCGTAAAAAATGGCTTTGAAATGTATCAAAAGTCCATTTATGACAGCTTCTGGTAAACAACTAATATGATGCATGTGCAAAGACAATTATTGGATTCATTAGGAATTATGTAAATTCCCCACTCCAAAAAATATAAATCATAGGTCTAGATTTTTTGACATTCTTAGTGGAAATGTCACATATTCTATCTTTAAGTCAGTTACTTGTGGGTGGTTCCGGTGCGAGGGTGAGGAGTGTTCTTGCAGCGGTACAGGGTGGGGTCTCTCATGCAGCCGTTGTTGGAGTTCATGTCCATCTTGGCCCTCATGCAGCAGGTCTGACCACTCTCTGTCCCGGCTTTCATCTCCGCCCACATCTTCATGTTCTGCTCCACCGCTGCAGAGGAGAAAAGAGTTAAACTATAGCTTCAGAAAGTTCACAAATGTACACTTGAGTTTCACAATTCACTGTGACCGTTGACCATGGCATCCTGAGACGTACTGTTATTTCTGTTTTTGGATTCGGCACGCTGCTCCCTCTCAAGCTTCATCTGCTCAGGAGGCGTGTTGTCGATGTAGGCCCTTCCCTCAGTGAGCAGCTGATCAGCAAAACGCATTATGGTCTCAAAATGATCGCTGGTGTAGGTGAACTGGTCTGGATGGATCTGGAGCATGGAAACGTCTTCCAGGATCACCTGAGGAGCAACAAAGACGTGAGGAAATAAGAACTGAAAAATCTTTCTTTGGCAGTTTGACAGGTAGTATGGAAAGAATAACTCATTGACATGTTTTTTTGAGTGTTTTACCTTCTCAAAGTCTTCTTTTTCCTTCTCAGGGTTGGTGTCGTCGAAGCGCATGATGAGCTTGCCTTTAAATGTGACCTGGTAGTGCTGGTTGAGCAGAGCAGCCTTGGCGTGGCCGATGTGAAGGTATCTATACACAGAGAGAAGGAAACATTTAGTTTAGGTAAGCTACTTAAAGAGCATGCATAATCTGGACTCCTCTTCAGGTGGATATAAAGCCTCACCCGCTGGCCTCAGGAGGGAATCGAACCACCACCTTGCCCATCTCAGCTCCTGGTAGATCCACAAACTTGCCGACATCTTGCTTCTTCTCATCCGACTGTTGATCAGAGACACAAACAGTCAGGAAAACATCACCACAGCTGCCTTTTTCTTTTACTTATTCTGTTTTGCACCAAAACAATTTCCGGTTGGGTTAAAAAAAATCAACAAACTGAGCTGAGCTGCAACATTTCGACTACCGTAATCATTTACCTGCAGGATTCTTGTTTTTGAGTTTGTTTCTTCATGGTTGAATACGCTTTTTGCAAGTTGCTTTGGATAAAAGTGTCAGCTAAATAAAAGATAATGTACTTAGCAGAAATATAGTTACTATTTTGATGAAAGATTAATTATTTTAAAAAAGGTGGAGATTTCCTATGTTAGGTCCCGTGTCCACATAGCGCCTTTGTAATAACAAAAACAAGATGTTGGATCGTTTAGTAACTGAAATGGACATTTTTCACTATTTTCTGACATTTAATGTACCAAAAGATTCATTAATTTAACCAGGGAATGATCTTCAAATTAATCGAATCAAATAATGGTTAGTTGCCAGCTGTTTGTCACTAATCACATGACCAACTGATTAATTTGTGGAGAATGAGTAGTGGTTTCATCAAGACAGTGTGACTATCAATTCAGATTCCTCACAGTGCAAAACGCTTGTGTTAAGCCCTGCCTTAATTCACATTGATGACATTGATTTTTGACATATGTTAGAAACATTAAAGCACATTATATCTGAAATGACACTTACGTTGGATTTGGTCATTGGAGCTTTCTTGCTGGCATATTTGTTACCCACAGCCGTGAAGGGAACCTGAGAGCTCAGGAAGAAGAACCAGCGGTTGATGTGGGAACAGGTTTTGCCCTGACTCGGCCATTCCGCGTGACCTGCAGAGAAACAACCACAACCTGTAGGGCTGCATTCCAACACATGTTCCACACTAACACAGACGGGGACAATAGAGTGGTGCAGGAATGAGTCCTAAAACACTGTAAATGTCCCTGCAGCGGGACTAATAAAGGAATTCTGATTCTGATTCTAATAAAAACCAGGGAATGAGTCAGCACTTTACAACTTCTGGTTCAAGTCAAAGATTTTGGTTAGATGCCTAAAATAAGGTCTGGCGTAAACACAAGCTTAAGAGATTTGGCCATTTTGTACAACGACATAAAATACTTCTAATTCTCCTTAATGTCCGAAGTTGCTAACTTTATATTTGCTCTTTAATTTTATGTCTTGCATTTTCTTTTTTGCCATTCTCCTGCTCTAATTCTTGTCCTGAACTTGTGTTATAATAAATGGTGGTTGCAAACAAGTATGTAAATGAGACTTCTAACTGCATCACGGCAAACATTAGCCGCATTTAGCTTAGGGGTTGTTCATTTATAGCCCAAAGTAAGCTTTTTACATCTGCCAATTTTACTTTTGTATTTACGGTCCGAAAATGATAAAAGCAGAGGCAATAGGTGGGGATTATCCTGCTGAACACAATGCGGAAGTATCATAAACCTGTGATGGAGTCGAGGCTGATTTTCTGCAATCATCCAATGGAAAAATTGTTTTTTGTCGAGGGAGCTCTTGCAATGTTAACCTCCGGCAGGGCCTATAAAAAAAGACTTCATCTCTGCACCACTCTCTGGCACTGGTACATCCTGCAGGGTACTGACCTTTGAGGGCAGCCCACACAGACAGGTCAGCCAGAGTGACAGATTGTCCGACAAGGAAGGTGCGCAGAGAAAGAGCCTTATCCAATTCCCCTAGTGCCGCGCTCACACCAGACTGATCACACAGACGCCGAGCGCTGAACTCCAGCCAGTGGTCCACCTGCACACACCAGACAGTATTTTGAATGAGGAAACCACTCTTAATAACACAACAGAAAATCTCTAACACACACAAGCACACACCTCGGTCTGCTCCATCATGTTGGATCCGTAGAGGCCAAGAGCGGGAGCCACTCGGGCCAGGTACCGACTGATAGAGTTGGTGTCATTGAACTGGATCGCACTGAGGAAAGGAAGGAGAACAGAGTAGAAATTAATTAGAACATTCTAATCCTATAGCATACATACCTTCTACATATGATATTTAAAAAAGGAACACTTCAACCATTAAATTATCATTTTCATATCAGCAACTCACAATGTGTTAGCTTTAAGCTTATTTTTGGGCCAGTTTAGCCTTTATTACCATGTGTAAAGAGTCCACAGGCCGGATTTGAACCAGTTTTTTGTTTGTTTTTATTTGTATTCATATGTGATTGCCTCAGTATTTTATATGCAAGTCCGCTATTTTTACTCTTGCCTTTTATCTCTTGTTAAAACTGTAAATAAAGAACGGGACGGATAAAGAATTTCTGATCTGATTTCGCTCCAGCAGGGACTGAGCCCTAGGACATGGGTACCAGTTTACCAAGTAATGTATGTGGCAGTTGCTTTAATTCTTAATTCTCACTGTTGACGAACAATCCAAAAACCTTCTTGATCAAATTATGTGAAAAAGGATTGGTTAGCAAAAGCAAGAATATATCAAAACATCAAAATAAAAACTCCCACACAACTTGTGCAGTATAATCTCCATTACTTAGCATTTCAATCACCCTAGCATAAATGGAAAATAGCACACCTGCGCAAACTGTTGATGCAGAAGGCTTTTAAATAAGTAGGGTTTATCAAAAAAAATTCCCATGTTTGGAAAACAGTAATCATTGAGACTTGGATTATACTGCATACGTTGTTTTATGTGAGAGTTTGGTTTTTAACCCCATTTAATTAATTTCATAAAGAATGGCATGCAAGAAAATGTTTTCTTCACAAACTCAAGAGTAACACGGGGTGAGATATACAAATATTGAAAGTATTACTTTAAGCACATTCAGCAGCTTGAAACAATGGTGCTACCTACTCAGAGACTTGAAGCCGGGTGTCTTTGCCTTCCTCCACTGATAGCTGCACACTGGCCTTCACATGCTCTGCTGCCAGAAGCGCTCCTGCAGGAGAGAGGAAACAATTTAGTGTTTTGATTGTTGTGACTGGGCCTAAAAGAATAAACCAACTGCATCTAGAAAGATTATGTTAAAAGGCACCTGGATGTTTTGTATTCTTTAAATAGGTTTGGCCCCTCTTACTAAAGGTGACTTGAGTGCAACATAACAACCTGTATGACTGCAGGCAATCTTCACAGAACATTTGTGAACCAGTTGAACTGGTCCTCTACACTGCAGTGTTTTATGTGACCTGCACCTTTCGTAGAAGTACTGCTTTCCTAAAACTGTGGTTTTCAACATGTCAGGACTCAAGAGTCTTTGCATAAACATTCTTGTAATGCCATGGACTTAATATCAACACAGGTAACGGGTTTTCTACAGAGGAAAACAATTGACCAAGGCTGCCCAGTATTACACTTTTAGGGTCAAGTGCTGGTGTTAAAACAAAAATAAACCAGGTTGCAAAAAATTCATAAAATAAATAACATTTCCAATACAACCCTCCACGTTTCAGCTGCTTGCATCAGCCTGCTGTACTCTGTATACACGCAAGAGGCGCTATTACCCGCTGCCAAAGCTAGTGGGTTAGCTCATTGTAGTACAAAGCAATGGCATACTAAACTCAGGAAAGCCTTGTTCTGAATGTATTTAACACAGAATACTTTCCAATATCAATAAAATATGTCAAGTTTCAACGCTAGATACTTTTTATAGACATGTAACTAAGTATGTATTTACCTAAACCGACAAGCTCAGCTAACCTTTTAGCTAGTGTCATCGTGTCAACTGCTCATAATAAATGTGTGTTATTTGGCCATGTGCATTTCCAAGCTCGTGATTACTTTTTGCATGGGTATATGCATGCCATAGTGAACGTTCAAAGGTGGAATATTAACATTTAAAAAAGGTAGCTGCTGTCATTAAAAAGGACATGTTAACGAACTGTCCACATGCTGTGTTTCAGTGCCACGACTGCAAGCTTGCTAACGTTAGCTTGTTAGCGAACTACACACCCAGTTTGAACTTATAAGGACATACTGCCATACCAGGTTTATTTCATATAGGTCATGTTACAGGCCTTTATTGCAAAATAAACAACTTGGCTGGTTCCAAACTCATTCCATTGTTGAGTTGCAAATATTAGCCATGTTATTCTGCTGGTTTACAACTTCTAACAATAACATTAACTTTAAATATTGTATTTGAATGTGTCCGTGTCTTCATATCTTCCGAATCAAGCAAATCCTGGCAACTGGTCAATTGTCTCACTTTATAAGAGATAGTTATATCTATATTATTATTACATACGATGAAAAAAACATTGAGAGAGAGTTTATAAATATAGTTTGTCTCGTTTGTTGGGGTGACACGTAACAGTGCTAGCTAGTCAGCTGTCACTACATTCATGCACAGGACTCAAAGAGCAAGTATTTATTCAGGCTGCAACTCACCTAGAGGCGGATTGCTCGTGTTGATGGTGAGGTTTAACGCCATGATGTGAAATCCTTCTTCCACAAAGGTGGTAAAGCCTTTTCACAAGAAACCTAATAGCAGACAGCCAAGACTACTCTCCACAGCGTGCAGCACCCCGGGGATCCAGAGTCTCAGCAGCAGCAAAGCATGAGAGGATGGGACTTCTTTTGTTTTTGTGACTGCTAACCAACCACTTATTGCTGAAACACTGCCACCAACTGTTCAGGAGCTGAACACACAGACACAAAACACGAGCACAAACCAGGAGCCTCCGGGACTCTTTAATTATGGGGCCCCATTATTTGTTCTTTTAAGTTGTTAACTTAATGTTTGCTTTTTGGATTTTACGTTTGTTTGTTTTTCAATTCAATACTCTCCCGTTTTTCTTCTGGTCCTAATCAGCCGTCTATCTGAACGTGTGCCCACAGTGAAAATGTAGGTTTATTCTGGATATACATTTTTTTTTTTTCCTTTTTGTTTTATTGAGTCAGGCACAATGAGTTTACATTTATACAGTCAATATTGTTCAGGTACATCATAAGATCTTTAAGCCATAGAGATGCTTTAGGTGATATCGAAGATTTCCATTCTAGGAGTATTCTTCTACGTGCTAAAATAGATGCAAAGGCTATACTGTCCTTAGTTTTCCTCCTCATCATTCGGTGGCCATGTAGTACTCCAAAAATGGCAGTTTCTGCACATGGTGTCAATACCACGTCCAAGGCCTCAGCAAGGTGTTTGAAAATGCTTGTCCAGTATCCTTGTAGGCGAGGACAAGACCAAAACATATGAGTCATGTTTGCTGGTGACGTGTGACATCTGTTACAGGTATCCGTGACATTTGGGTATATTTTGGAGAGTTTAGAGTTGGTGTAATAGATACGGTGGTAAGTATATACATTTTTTACTTACATCCTTATCGACATTATTGTTGCTGCTTTTGTGGAGAAATAGCGACCAATTGATGGAAGCTAATGGGGAATCATAGAAAAATAACTGAACATTGTGCTCATCACATTCCTGTTCATCATTCCTTGACAAAACATTGACCATTGCAATTCAAAGGAAAAAGTGGGAGAATTCATAAGGCTGGGCTAGTGGGCTTTATGGAAAAAAGGTGTATTTACTCAGAAATGTAAAGTTGATTTATGTGTAATTTCTTGAACATTTCCTTCTCAAAACCCTTTACACTTTCACTCCGCTACAGAGGTACATGTTTTATTCCAATACATTTATCTGACAGCTTTATGTAAGGTTACACGATGTTTACATACAAAAACATTATAACAGTTTATAAAATTGTGATGTTATTTGATTAATTAAACTAACCAACAGTTTGGACAACTAATGCTGAAACTATTGTCGATGAATGAAGTCATTATTGATGTAACAAACATGTTATATTTCAATCTTTTCAAATGTAAAGATTTTCAGCTTTTCCTTTTCCTAATTGTTATACATTTGAAATTAAGTTTAGGTTATAGTTGTGATAATGACTTTTCACTCTTTTAACTATTCTTATAAACCAATCAAATGATTTGGGAATACTTCAACTACATTTTCCTAATTGTTCTTGCATATTGAACTTAAATAACATGTTAAATTAATTACTAATACTTGTTTTCACACTGTGGTATGAGTACTTTTACTAAAGTACATCTTCTGATTAATTTCTCCACCACTGTAGTTATATGTACGAATGTGTAAAGGCTGCCACATCTATGTCATTCATTGTATGTACGTCATGTGGACTGAAGCCAAAGATCTCGCGATACTTGTGGTGCTATAAAAACCCATCCGCGGCCTTAGATCGGTCTTTCTTTCTCCCCCTTTAACGGTGAAGGTGCAACAGTAATCGGTCGTCCCGAGCCCGGGTTCATCCGACACCCTCACGCAAGCTGAACTCAACCAACACGCAACATGCCTCCCAAATTCGACCCCAGCGAGGTTAAAGTTGGTATGTTTTCAGTGTTACCTGGGTAATAAAAGCAGAGTCTTGTTCACAGCAAGATGGAGTCGTTCTCTGACGGCTGTCTCCGTGTCTGCCGGCCTGTGAACGGCCTAAAGAAAACGGTAAAGTTGGGGCACGAAAAGCGACGAGAAACGGGGAAATAATTTGGACTTTTATTATTGCATGCTTCAATTATATTTTCCAGTTGCAGTGTGAGTGATTTGTGACGGGGTTTGCCAGTGTGTGGGCTACATGGGAACCACGTGCTAGAGTACTAGCTAACGTTAGCTGCGTTAGCTAATTTACCTGGCCTCGTAACCTTATTTGACTTGTTTGTGAATATATTCATTTGTTTTGTGGACTAATTTGACTTATTTCAGCAAGTAATGTTGATGCATTTTTATTTACTGTTCCTTTTGAGAATTATAGCCTGAAAAGGGTTTTACAAATGACAATGTCCATTATTGTAAATACACTTTCATATTGTATAAAGTTGCGTCCTGCTGTCTTGATTTGATTTATCAAGATATTCTAGCAATTATGGTTATTCATATACTAAAGAAACTAAGTGATTGGATTTGTAAATGTTCAGTGCGATACTAATCTGAGGGAGATTATATATGATAACAATGAGTCTTGTATCATAGGAATATAAATCGTGTTATGCTTCAATTTTGTGTGATCGGTCAATATTGGACGTATGTTTCATGTATAGCATTTAACATTAGTGAGCGAGGTGTGAATAGAGTTAAATTGCTTTAGTCGATGTTTGGGACTCACTTCCAAGTCCACCCCTGTTCCCAGAATGATTCCTAAATAATGGATGTATTTTAAGTGTTGAGCTTTATTACTTCAGATGGCAAAATGTGATGTTTCCCTAATACGAAATGAGACATTCATTTTTGTTCCACGACATATAATATGCCAAATTAAGACTAAAATGGACTACTAAACACCATATCCTTGGCTGCTGACAATGACATAGTTTATTTATAGACTAGAGCTATTATTTATATGCATCAAACAGTGGCGTCAGCATGTGGCCATCTTTTAACCAACATTACTAGTAAGGTTGTCAGCCTCCCGCCACTATGCCTGTCTGTCAGAGTGACTGAGTATAATCCAGTGGAGGCTAAGAGTGACCCGGCTTTAGGAAACAGGGATGCCCGAAAACCATGGACAACTTTGTGCCGAAAAGACTGGAACAAATAAACCTACAACCGGACCTGTTTACTCACTTGTCAGTACGTTTTGTGGACAAGCCCTAATTATAATCTTTAATTAGATTGTGCTCGGTGTCTCTTCTTTTTCTTGCAGTGTACATGAGATGCACTGGAGGAGAGGTTGGAGCAACATCAGCCCTGGCCCCCAAGATCGGACCCCTGGGTCTGGTGAGTGTGAAATAGAAATGGATCTTGGTTTAAAAACTATATATCAGCCTCCCGCCACTATGCCTGTCTGTCAGTGGCTGAGTATAATCCAGTGGAGGCTAAGATTGACCCAGCTTTAGGAAACAGGGATGCCCGAAAACAATGGACAACTTTGTGCCGAAAAGTCTGGAACACAAACTGAGGATGGCACAGCTGTAATGCATAATTATCTTTTGAAGTGTTTTTTTATTTGTATTGGTACATTTTTAGCACCTTTTTTGTGTGGGTGAAGTTTAAATGTCTTTTTTCCTTTCATCAGTTGTAAGCTTCTCAACCACTTTGTCTTTTCCTCAACAGTCTCCCAAGAAAGTTGGTGATGACATTGCCAAGGCCACCGGTGACTGGAAGGGCCTGAGGATCACTGTGAAGCTGACTATCCAGAACAGACAGGCAGCGGTATGTCAATATGTCCAAACTGCAATATCTATACATCATTAGCACCAATGATGTGGAGGTAATAGGATGACTGGCAGTAGTCATGACTGTTCTGTTTTATCATTGCTTTCCTAAGGTTGAGGTCGTTCCCTCTGCATCTGCTCTGATCATCAAGGCTCTGAAGGAGCCTCCTCGTGACAGGAAGAAGGTCAAGAACAGTAAGTGATCTTCTTAAGAAAAGTATTAAAAAAGCACAAATATTGATTTAAAGTTCATTGACTCATTGCTCCCCTCTTCTGCTTTACAGTCAAGCACAGTGGATCTGTAACCTTTGAGGAAATTTTGACCGTCGCTCGCACCATGAGGGGTCGCTCCATCGCCAGAGAGCTCTCAGGTAAGAAATAAATCTCTTAACTCTGAATTGTACTTCTAACATATGAAATGCAAGTTAGCCAATAGAGGTGCAGGAATGAGTCTTAAAACCCTGAAACTCTTCCACATCAGGTCCCCTAACCTGTCATTTTTTTTGTCTTTTCACATTTTGTTCTACGGCGTAAAATATGCCAGATTACTGGCACAGATTTGACCTCTGACCATATTTACGCTTCAAAAATAACAGTTAACATGTTTTAACATGTGGGCATTAAGGCAAACATTCCTGTCTTTTAACCAACATTACTATTAAGGTTGTCAGCCTCCCGCCACTATGCCTGTCTGTCAGAGTGACTGAGTATAATCCAGTGGAGGCTAAGATTGACCCGGCTTTAGGAAACAGGGATGCCCGAAAACCATGGACAACTTTGTGCCGAAAAGACCGGAACAAATAAACCTGCAGATTTGATCAGTTATTTCAAGATGTTGTGAATAGTTATGAGCTGTAAACTAAATGACTGGTTTATGGTCTTGTATAGCTTTTGACAATATGTATCGTCTCCCTCCAGGAACCATCAAAGAGATCCTCGGTACCGCGCAGTCTGTCGGCTGCACCATTGATGGTCGTCATCCCCACGATGTCATCGATGATATCAACGGCGGCAAAATTGAGTGTCCATCTGAGTAAATGCGTGACACCAATAAAGTTTTCACAAAAACGTAACTCTTTGTGTGGCACCTTTTTTACACTATTCATGCTCAAGATGCATAAACTCTGGTAAAGTATATCAATTACTGAAGCATGTCACTTGTAATGCTGCAAAATATTACAGAGCCTTAACTTTAGCCTTAGAACTTAACTACTTTAACAACTCTTGACGATTGTATACACTTGTTTAGGGACATTTTTGTCAACATGACATGCAATTTGAACAGTGCTGTGTACAAAGTAGTTGGAATTGGTCACAACAAGTCAGATTGTAAAAGACATTCCTAGGAATTAAGTAACTTTAGTTCACCATTTTAAATGTTGGATATTGTAGTTTATTGATCCCATATTGGGAAATGATTTCCTTGCAGCAGTATAAAAACAAAACTGCATTGCTCACAAGTAAACCTAAACTGATCTAAAATGTAAATTTCAAAATAGAAATAAAACTATTTAAAAAGAAGAAAATATACAGGAGACTGAAGATAAACAATCAATAAACTGACAAACACTATTGGCCCTTCGATAGTGTTAAATAGGTTAGAGTGCAGAGCTGTAATTGGTTGTTGGTACACAAAATAGTTGCACTACTGCCAGTCATGTCAAAAAAGAATGGCCTCTAGCTAGATGTAGGTTATTTCAGATCTGGTGACTAAATTTCCCATAATGCTACAGAACTCATTCAGGTGTTAGGCTTACAGCAGCCTTTTAACTACAGATTTTAAATGCAAGTCTTTTCAGGCTTAATGATCCAGCTGGAGAAGAGTTCTTTTTCTGCCTCCCACCATCTGGAAACGTGTCACTTGCATCATGACAAAGATGGCGTATTCCATTTATCATTAAGAGAATATTTCATTTGACTAAATCAAAATGTCTGATTTATCACTTAAACCGACATTTGATAAAGAATCACTAACTATATCTCAACATGACTTGTAAACAAACACAGCGAGGGGAATACAAACTGGTGGGTGATTTAGGTCACTCGTGAGTTGAACACTTTTAATACAAAAGATTTATTGAAAATTTCAACCATTTACAATTCTACAAAAGTATAAATGGTTCAAAAATTTAACAGGTGCAGCTCTTTATACTGAGGTTATGTAGTCCACAACAATTCAATAAAGGCATCTTTTAGTACATTAAGCTCTTGGTATTTTGTTATTGAAAAAAGAACCGTGTTATGGTAAAATACAAAACTGTGATGCTAGCTTCCAAACTAGTGTGATTTCGTACCCTAAGCTAGTAGCAAATTTCAGGGCAGGTTTTTTGTTACTTTTATGAAACATGTCATTTGAATCTATTTTTATTTGAGTGCTTTTGTGGAATAAATAAAAGGTTGTTCCTTAATTGAGGGTATCACAGTAATGCTGCCACTATCAAATACTTTAATCTATTCATAACTGGAAAACGTGTCCAACTACGCTATGTTATGTGAGCCAATGGGCAAATCAGACAGCCCAAAACACTTCCATTAGACTTGACGAAACATACACTGTTAACTAACAGTGCTGCATAAACTAAACGCAGCAAAACAAAATGCTTCAAATAAAAAAAACGCCGCAAGAAGCTCAAAACGCAACAGAAACCAGGCACACAAACAATTGAAGCACACAGCTGGGACCGGAGCACTTGTTGACATTCAAGGATTGTCAATGTTGGCAGTAAGTTTTAATTGTAAATGTTTTGTCAGTAGATTCAAATGAGTATGTTAGCTACGTTAGCTAGCTAGCTAGCTTACAGCAGATCTACTCAAATATTGGAGGGAATCCTGGGATCACATTGTTAACATAAGTCAATAAAATATACATTTTAGGTCAGTGTCGGAGACAGTTGGCCAACTTCATAATCCCCAAACATCAACAAATGCTCCGGTTCCAGCTGTGTGCATCCCTTTTTAATGTCCCCCGTTTCCATTGTGTTTTGTATTTCCAGTGTTCGGTTTAAGCGGTTTCAGTAAACGATGCGCATGTTTTCTCAAATTGGTGAATATTTTCTAAATGCTGCGCATGTGTTGTCAAGTTGGTTAAGATGTTTCTTCATTTGCATGCGTTTTGGCATATTTATTTTATTTTATTTGCATTGTGTATGAATGAACAGCACGTTTCTCCTGGAAGTGTCTTAGGCCGTTGTAATGTCATTGCCCGTCAGCCAACTTAGTATATAGATTGAATACATATATATACAAGAGCATATAAGTCCAATGAGCCAGAATCAGTCACTTTGAATTTAACTTTCTGTCAACGGACACTTACTACTGTATATCCTTTACTGTATAGAACAGTGTTTGTATCAAAAGGTGAAAGATATATACAACAAATAAATACAAAAAAGGACAAAATATCAGGAAGTGCGTGACGTAGTTGTTGTTTCTTTGTGCTGAAGACAGCAGCTGCCCTTTTTATAATTGAACCTCCACCCATTGTTGGCTCACTGAACCTGGATGAATTGATTCAGTTTTGCTCAATGCTGACTGAGTGTCACTTGAACGCAACACGCCCAGTAGAGTGATGAGTGTATTTTTGTTTGTGTTATCATCAATTCTCCACATCTTCCTCCTCTGCCTCATTCTCGGCTTCAGGTTCCTCGTCCATGCGCTCTTCCTCCTCTTCCTCCTCCCTGCTCTTATCATTCTCAGAGTCGGTCTTCTTCTCTCTGTCTTTACGTTTCTGCTCAGACACCTCCTTCTTTCCTTTCTGGCCCTTCTTGTACACTATAAAAGAATAAAAAACATTTGTGTATTACACAAACATTCTGGAAATCTTAGATGTTGGTCTCAATAGGTGTATTTCCATCTATATCGTTAACATATTTTCAATTTGAACGTAAATAAAAGCTAAATTAAGAGTTCAAAAAAACAGACTTTGATAATTAAATCATGTGATTTAAATATCCACTAAAGAGTGAAAAACATCAGGGGCCTAATTTATAAACAAGCAAAGATGCCTTTTATAAAAATACTTTTATGGAAAAGTGACTGTGGCAGTGAGGATGAGCCTGAAATTAACATTATATTTTCCCTTTAAAAGTGACGTACTGACCTTCTAGAGCTTCTCTGAGAGGCTCCAGGAATCGTTCAAACTCCATTTCCTCCATCGCAGACAAAACATCTCCTGCGTTCAGAGTTTTCCTTTTGGCTTTCATGGCAAAGTTGTTTGCACTGGAACAAAAAACAGAAAAACATTTTTATTGAATTACAGGTAAAATAACAAATAACATTCACGGTCTTAAACCTTATAATGGTACTGGAAAGTTATATTACGTTTTTTTCTTGAACTGTTTTTTGTGAATCAACACTCAAGTGATTTTTTCTAAGTGAGTTTGTTTATCCTTACCAGGACGTTGCATACAGCACAAACACACTGGCAGCTTGGGATATGGCTCTCCGGGCTTCTTTCGACACATTAACCCCATCTGGGAGCTGTGGGGAAAACAAACGGTGCGGAGGAGTTAGAGCATCTCAAGGGTGCAGGATGAATTCATTTTATCAGAAAAACAAGCACATTAGGAACATTAACAACATATGCAATTGGTAATCAGTTACAACTAAATGTTATGATATTTTTTAAGAAAAACAAAAAAACAAAGTTCCAAAACAGCTACAGTAAGTTACTTTTCACCATTTAATATGGTACATTCAAGCAAGTATTGGATACTGATATTGAAATATAAAACATTATTTCACATTTACATTTTGGTACAAGAAGTTCCCATGAAGAATATATAACTCAGTGTAATCTTTAACCCTCCGGTATCACTGTGGACGTTTTTGTCCATATGGGTCATTTTTCACTTTTCATTTTGCAATAACTTTGGTTGTGTTGGTGCTAATGGCCTGATTTTTTGTAACAAGGCTATTTTCTCGATCTATTTTGGAATTCCAATTTGTCAAAACGGTCTTTAATTCACTGTGTAAAAATCGACTATGCTTATTGACCATTCGAGACAAAAATGTCCACTGCAAAAGACTTTGATAAAAACATTATATTAAAAGGTTTTTTTTCACAATTTTTTTGGGTTCAATCTTTAAAGCAACTTCCGCCCTAATCAAAAATACCAAGAATGTAATCATTTTCAGGATTTTAACCCTTTAAATGCCATTTTGAATACATGAAACCGCTGTTTTTTTTCATGATGAAAACAGAGAAAATTAGTTATTTTCCATGATTATATACCGGTATGGCGGAGAGATCAAAAGATGTGGTTATAATGGGAGTGGATGGGACATTTTTGTCCGCGAGTGGCTAATGTGAGTTTTTTGTTTATTCTGGGTCTGTGCAAAAACTAATAATCCACCAAAATAAATGTTGTTGCTATTCTTTGACATATCCAAGACTGTGATAAAAATGTAAAAAAGCCGACCCCCCCCCCCCCCCCCCCCCCCCCCCCCCCCCCCAACATTTATTTTATGGAAAATAACTGCCTTTTGGTGCATGTTTTTCATAGAAAACGCTAATTCATGTTTTCAAACTGGCAGTTAAAGGGTTAAAATCCTGAAAATAATTTAATATTTTGTATTTTTGATCAGGACTGATGTTGATTTAACCCCAAAAAGTTTTTAAAAATATTAATCTGTTATCATTTTATAGCAATTTTTGGAAGTGGACATTTTTGTCCCGAATGACTAATGTGTGAGTTTTGTTTAATCTGATTCTTTGCAAAAACTAATAATCAATCAAAATCAATTTTGTTGCTAATCTTTGACATATACAAGACTGTGATAAAAATGCAGTGGACATTTTTGTCCCGAATGACTAATGTGCGGAGTCCAATCGAATGATACCGGAGGGTTAAGTTTACTTACATATACAATTTAAATATAAAACTTTAATGTTGTTTTTTTATACTTGTACTTAGGTAAATGTTTGTATTATTGTTTACATCTACACTTCAGTGATACTATTTTCACTTAAACAAAATATTTGATGACTTTTCCCCCCTCTTGTCACACGGGACTTGTACTAGTACTTTTGTATTATAACTTGTGTATTTTATTTTACACTAATAGTATTGTTATTCTGACGCTCCGAGACGAGTACTTCTTATTTATCCACTCACCGCCTCCTTGATGATGCGGGTGATCACCGCGTTGGGCAGGTTTAGATCTTCGGGTCTCTCCGCCATGTCTCTCGCCGGTTACCGAGTGCTTCACCCCGCCGTGTTCGCACGGCTAACTCCCCCGTCCGGATTACCGTTACCTCTCGTGTTCACAGATTAGCACTGTTGTGTTAGCCTGGAGCTACCTAAAGTAGCTAGCTAATGTAAGTAGCTCGTTCAGTTTCAAAGTAATATTTAGTAATATTAGTACCGCGTTTGAAGAAGACTTTATTATCAGTGTGGTTGATGGTTTCCAGTTTTATATATAAGTTTAAATTGAGTTTGAAGCCGCTCGCGTTTCCAATAGAACAGATTTGTTTTGGGATGTTTCCCGCGAACCTTCCAAGCACGAGCCCTCCTCCGTCAACTTTCAACTACAACCCATCTGACGTCAGCGTAACGTACGTCGACGGTGCGTAGTTACGTAAACCTTCTTCCTCGTTGAGGAAGGCGGTCTGCTAACAACAATTAGGTGCATTACCGCCACTGTTGGACTGGAGTGTGGTGTAGTAGATTGTCAGAAAAAAACGAAATACAATTATAAAAGAAACTGCGACTCAATTCTCTCTATTGTTTCAGTTGGCTTATAATATTTTGTATTTAACAAACCGAATAATTTCTCATTTATCTTCCTTAGCAAATCCCCCAACGTGAAGCTTAGTTTTCCATCAGTTAACAACGTCAGTAACTCTCTTCTCTCGTCGTCAAATCTGTACATTAACACATGCTTGACGGCTTCTGGTTTATTACAGTGTGGTTATAATCTATTAGTATAGTATTTTCTGTTGAGTGTTTGATTTAGTCATGTGTGTCCTGTTCTTGGATGGGTCATGACCTTCTCTTCTATTGGGTTCCTGCTCCGTCTTCCACCTACCCCCTACATGTTTTTGAATGCTCTAAACATGTCTTCCACTCCCAGTATTATTGCCAAGTTTTGCATGTAAACTATTTTATAATAACATTATATTTTGCTTTACTAAATATGTCTGTAAACAAGTAATTTAAGTCAGTGTTAAGTTAGTTATTGTAGTGCCGAGAGAAGGGAGTCGGAGGCGGTGCATCGAAGGTGCAAATCTGGCTTTAATGAGCGACAGAAATGGACATGCTGTCGGGTCGCAGCCCGGGAAGAGAAGAGAAAGCGAAAGGGAGGAGGACACAGTATATACCCCGGAGGTACCGTCAACATATGTGTCCGTGCGGAAACAATACCCCCAACCTGTAGTTCCTTGATTGAATTATGTAACCCCGTTAATTAGTGATCACTACACAAGCCCCCCCAGAATTCAACCATGGACACAATCCTCGCGTCCGGGAGGAAGCACCACAGGGGCCGAGGAGGGCGGGGCTGCCGGCGAGGGCCGGGCCATGGAACGGGCCGTCGGAAGGGGGCCGCAGGAGAGGGTAGGGGCCCCAACGAGGGCGAGGGCATCCCCACCGGGGGGTGGGGGGCGGGCCGGAACGGGCCGTCGTCAGGGGGCCGCAGAAAGCAGGGTCGCTGTGTTGCGACGTGGGGACAGGCGTGAATATCCCGGTGGTCCCCAGCAGGGAGGACCGCTGCCCGGCCGCAGGCGAAGGCACAGCGGCGGCGGGTACGAAGTCCTCGGGAGGAAGGAGCCGTGTCCCCGGGAGGAGGGAGCCGTGGACAGGGGAGAGGCCAGACGGGGCGCCGTCCGAAGCCGCCGTCAAGGCGAACCGTGAGCCGCGGTTAGAGGTGAGGCCAGGCAGGGTCCCGAAGCGCGCCACCCACGGGCCGATGAAGGCATGGGCGACGTCCGAAACCGCCGAAGCGAGGGAAGAGGCCAGACAGGGTCCCGAAGCGCGCCACCCACGGGCCGATGAAGGCATGGGCGACGTCCGAAGCCGCCGTCGAGGTGGTGAAAAAGCGAGAGGGTCCACACGAGGCCGACCAGACATGGTCGAACCTCCTCTCAGGCACCAGAAAAAAAACTCAAAAGGGTCGTCCTGTCCACGATCAAAAACAGGTGGGCGAAATTGTGAGAGGATCCACACGAGGCCGACCAGACTTGATCGAACCTCCTCTCCGGCACCACAAAAAAAAAACAGTCGGATGTCGATAGCCGCTAGCTGCTAGTCGTTAGCTGTCGTCGTCAGCCGTTGCTAGCTGTCGTCGTTAGCCGTTGGTAGCTGCTAGCCGTCAGCTGTCGTGGCTAGCTGTCGTTAGCCGTCAGCTGCTAGCCGTTAGCTGTCGTGGCTAGCCGTTCTCGACGGCCGTTAGTCGCTGTCGTCGTCGTCGTCAAATCTGGCTTTAATGAGCGACAGAAATGGACATGCTGTCGGGTCGCAGCCCGGGAAGAGAAGAGAAAGCGAAAGGGAGGAGGACACAGTATATACCCCGGAGGTACCGTCAACATATGTGTCCGTGCGGAAACAATACCCCCAACCTGTAGTTCCTTGATTGAATTATGTAACCCCATTAATTAGTGATCACTACATTATTATACTTCCTCCTAGGATTACAAAAGACCCCAATCACCCCAGCAACAAACTGTTCTGTCTGCTGCCGTCTGGCAGGCGGTACAGCAGCATCAGGACTAAAACCACCAAACTCAGGGACAGTTTCATCCCACAGGCCATAAGACTGTTAAACACCTGAACTTTTTAAACAACATCCACAACATTAATCTGGCTGCAATTTAGAAATTATGTATCTAATATATCATATTCAATCACTTGCATAAAGACTCTTATTACACTATTCCACTATTTCCCTTTTTTTCTTTTTGTATTTACTTGCACAATTGTTTCAGTTTTTTCAGTTTTATTGTGTTGCACTGTTGGAGGAGCCTGTGACCTAAGATTTTCATCGTCATAACTACACTGTAGCTATGTACGCATGACCAATAAAATCCTTGAACCTTGAACCTTCAACCTTTACTTCCACCCCAATGCAAACGGGAACCCAAAGCATGGAAATCACTAAGATTCAATCTTAGTAGTAAATTCAACATTTTGTAGAGGATATTGTCTGCATAACAACTCCCCAGATTTGAGGCTTGAAAGCACAGAAGATGTTAGGACATTGGGTCGGTTTAATTCTTCAGACCATTGCAATGCTAACAATATCCCTCATTTTGCTGGGCAAACTGAAAGGTGATCTGACGTTTTCATTTTTACTGGTATTCCATGTACCATGTCCTCTTTGATTGCCCAATTTGCCAATAGCTTGACCCTCAACTTCTTTTGCATAATTTCCTCCATTTCAACCTGCATTGCCGCCACTGGTGATGTGTTTAACACTACAAATTCGGTGAGTCTAAGCCTGCCCAACATCACGTTTTTTAAGGTTGGTTTCTGCTGCAGACATACGCGATACATCCATAATCTAGAACTGCAATCATAAGAGCCCAGTATATATTTAATAAAAATGTTCTGTGATATCTGTCACAATCTTTTCAAATAGAACTGCAACAATCTCACTGCCTTGACCTGTTCGAGGACTGGTCCATAGAACTTCATGGTTACTACTGCACCATCATCAGCATAAAGTGATTTTCCCATGTTTTTCTCAACATGTTTAAAATATCATTTATCATTATGGTAAATAACAGTGGACTGCACACACTGCCCAGCGGGATTCCAATTACTACTGTATACGTTTATTCGAAAATTCTGTACCCACCTTAACCCCGTTGTCCTCTGACTCTAAACAGCAAATCTGACACCCAGTTGTATATTCTACCATTTACACTTTATCATTAAATATAATTTTAATAAGAAATCTCTCTTTCCATAACATGTCATAAAACTTTTCCACATCAAAGTACACAGCAATCCCCATTTATTTTTTTGCTTGAGCTTTCCTGACTTAAGATTCCAGACAGATGGACTGACCTTTTCCGAAATCTCGGAAAGTGAGTGTCTCATCAGTATTTTGGAGTGGACGGAGATCTATTAAATTCTGCTCTGACAAGCGAACATTAAAACATCATTAAAACCATGAGGCACCTGAAGTGATAAACTCCCACTTGCCTCGTCACACATTATTTGCATTGTACAAATGAATATTAAAACCCTGACCATACAGACTTTTAGCTCTGCTTACACCTTCATTACTAACAGAGTGGTGAAGGTCAGGGGTATTTAGGTGGTTTCCATGGCAGCTGGTTCCCTTGCACATGCAGGAGGTGAAGCAGCCCACACATTGTGAAGCTCTCCGTAGAGTAAGCTATGCAAAGAAAGGTGAGCGTCTACTCCCACCAAGTTCAAGCTTCTGTTGCTGCTTTCTGGGCCGGGCTCCAGGATACTAAAGTTTCCTCAGCCTGTCTAACTGTGTTGTTGGAACAGTCGCTTCCATTGTGTCCATCTGACATGTCGACAGTTCGCTGCAGATGTGAATTTAATTCCCAAATATGTCAGACCAGAAGTGAATGTTTGAAGTAAAGAGGAGTAATATTGCCTTATCTGTTCAACTACAATCCACCAATGCACCAATTTCTTTCAGAAAAATAAATAAAGTGGCAAAACCACAACAACAAAAATACACCAATAACTTAATAAAAAACCTTTTAATTGGTACTTCACCAACTTTGAACATGCCTTTAAACTTACTAGAACCCTACAAAAGGATTGAATGTTCAGCGTTTTGGTACCCATTTAAAGTGTGTATAAAAAGTTTGTTTTTGATGCATTTATATAAAACGTTACAACAAAGGATTTGCACATGTCAAAATGTGCCTTTTATTCTTAAACTCACAGATGCGTTTTTATAAGCACATGAAGATACTTTTGGATTTATATGTCCACCTGATGAACATGGGTCGATAATGAGGACAGACATGCAAAGGCCCCACCACCTCTCTCACTTAAGAAGACAAGACAGATACTTAATAGTTTCTGTATTCATTTTGTGTCTCTACAATTTGCCCGTTTTATATTTGTTGTGAGTCTTTTGTAATTCTGAGTCCCTTACTGGTTGATATGTGTGTGACTAAGAGTCATTTCTGCAGTAAAAGTCATACGATGAAGGCCAGGGGACCCTGACACTTTGGGCCCCTGTGCCCCGTTATAATTCATCCATGCTGATGCATGAAATATCTGTGTCTTTAGCTAATGCGGAGCTTTTAAGAACACCTACTGCTAAAATCCACTTCAATCAGCGTTCAGACCAAAACACTGAAATTGTGGGACATAAAACCAAAACAATTACCCAAAAGACATTTCCTTCATGTGTTTCTTAACCATTTTAGATGCCTTTTATAGGTACTTCCACCATGTTATCTTTCAAGTTATTACTTTTACCCAAAGTTTTGACTATGTGCCATGGCTTATGAGGCTGGTTCAATGTCATTCAGGTTGTGTGGATTATCATAATAAAATGACATTTTTTCAACACATTTGTATAAAAGAAC